AAATTTTCCAACATTCAAGAAAGATAAGTTTGTCCAAAATCATTGAACACGACCAAATTCAAACTTAAACTGCTTATTCCTAAGATGTATCTATATTATTTTCAAAGTGAAAGGGACATAACTCTGCCAAAAAATCATCAAAACCATGACCAAATTCCAACTTGACCTGCCCATTCCTTTGACATATCCATATGTCAAATTTGAGTTGAATATGTAACACTGTTGGGTAGATAATGAACAGAAACTGTAAATTTCATATTATTTTCAAAGTAAAAGGGGCATTACTCTGCCAAAAATCATTGAACCATGACCAAATTCAGACTTGGCCTGGGCATTCCTTTGATGTATCCATATGTCCAGTTTGAGTTGAATGTGTTGTACTGTTGGGGAGATAATAAACAGAAACTGAAAATTTCATATTATTTTCAAAGTGAAAGGGGCATAACTCTGCCAAAAATCATTGAACCAAGACCAAATTTGAACTTGACCTGCGCATTCCTTTGATGTATCCATATGTCCAGTTTGAGTTGAATGTGTTGTACCGTTGGGGAGATAATGAATGGAAACTGAAAATTTCATATTATTTTCAAAGTGAAAGGGGCATAACTCTGCCAAAAATCATCGAACCATGACCAAATTCGAACTTGACCTGTATTTTCTCAAGACATATCCATATGTCAAATTTAAGTTGAATGTGTTGTACCTTTGGGGAGATAATGAACGGAAACTGAAAATTTCATATTATTTTCAAAGTAAAAGGGGCATAACTCTGCCAAAAATCATCGAACCATGACCAAATTTGAACTTGACCTGTATTTTCTCATGACATATCCATATGTCAAGTTTGAGTTGAATGTGTTAAATCGTTGGGGAGATAATGACCGGAAACTGAAAATTTCATATTATTTTAAAGTAAAAGGGGCATAACTCTGCCAAAAATCATCGAACCATGACCAAATTCGAACTTGACCTGTATTTTCTCATGACATATCCATATGTCAAATTTGAGTTGAATGTGTGCAACCGTTACTAAGATAATGAACGGAAACTGATGATGACGGAATGACAGAATGACGGAATGACGGAAGGACGGAATGACGGAAGGACGGAATGACGGAAGGACGGAAGGACGGAACAGGGTAACACTATATGCCCCGGCCATTACATGGCGGGGGCATAATAATTAATTTCGTTTCTGATGTATGATATATACTCTTGGATAAACAAGAGCTGTCAGAAGGACAGCGCGCTCGACTTTTTTAGTGCTTGCCTATAAAACAAAACTTTGACAGTTAAGGGCACACAAGACTTTAACTAGGAATTTCTAAGTACAAATCAAGAAACATTATCTTCTCTTGCTTACAGATAGGTCTCATGATGGCACATAAGAACTCCAACTTCCAAAGTAATATCTCAAATGGTTAAGTCAACAAGTGGACAAGAATGAAAATCTTAACTGAGTTTCTAAGTCAAAAAGGGCCATAATTCAAATAAAATCCTTAACAGAATTACCTTCTCCTGCCCATGTTTTGGGACCATGATGGTAAACAAGTATTCCAACTTTCAAATTAATATCTCAAACAGTTCAGTCAAAAAGTGGACTGGTACTAAAAACTTAACCAAGATTCTAAGTCGATAAAAGGCCTTAATTTTTAAAACAAATCCTTGACAGAGTTACCTTCTCTTGCGTACAGATGGGGGTAATGATGTGAAATAGCATTAAAAGTTTCAAAGCAATATCTCAAAGGGTTAAGGCAATAAGTGGATTTTACCCATATTCAATGTATTTTCTAAGTCAAAAAGGGGCATAATTCTGTCAAAAACCTTGACAGAGTTATGTCCTCTTGTCTGTTGATGAAGGTCGTGATGGTAAACAAGTATGGTCAGTTTCAAAGCAATACCTCCAATGGTTTTGAAATAAAGTGAGGTGGTACAAAAAACTTAACCAAGCTCAATACACTTTCTAAGTCAAAAAAGGGCCATAATTCTGTCAAAAACCTTGACAGAGTTATGTACTCTTGTCTGTAGATGGAGGTTATGATGGTGAACAAGTATGGTAAGTTTCAAAGCCATACTTGTAATACTTCTGAAATAAAGTGGGGTGGTACGAAAAACTTAACCAAGGTGTGACGCCAACGCTAACGCCGACGCCGACGCCGGGGCGAGTAGGATAGCTCCCCTTTTCATAGAAAAGTCGAGCTAAAAAAACCCTAGTGTCTATTTCATTTGCCAACAATTTATAATTATACTTACTGGAGGATGTAGTCTGACTACCAAAGAGTCCTTCTGACCCACTTGTTGATGTCTGACCAAACAGTGATCCACCTGGTTGTCCAAATAAGCCTTAAATATTCAATTATATATTTTACATGTTTATAGGGTATAAAGATATAAAGTTGTTGTCAATTATTAGCAGAATGAATGTTTGTTTAATATATAAGAATCATACCAAAGCAGCTGACATTAATGAATAAGAAATCAAGCAAATTTACTTTAATACATTGCTAAGACAATTAGGGTTAGGACAGTTACAATCACTTTCATCATTTAAGGTTTAAGATTGATCTTTTTTTTAAGAGATAGGCGTGTAATTATAAATACTAACCAGTTCCAGAAGCTGGAGGCTGACCAAAGAGGCCTCCACTTCCAGACGTTGTTGTTGTTGTCTGCCCAAACAAGCCAGACGATGAAGAAGATGTTCCTGCCGTTTGCCCAAACAAACCAGATGCTGTTGAAGGTGTACCAGATGTCTGACCAAACAAACCAGTAGATGTTGTTGTAGTAGTTGCTTGACCAAATGTACTACTACTGCTTGCAGGAGCAGTGGACACACCAAATGGACTTGTTCCAGAAGTTGTTGATGTCTGACCGAACAGACCGGTTCCCGAAGATGTTGCTGTCTGACCAAACGGACTGGTTCCCATGATAGTTGTTGCAGTTTGACCAAATGGACTGGTTCCAGAAGTTGTTGCTGTCTGACCAAACAGATTGGTTCCCGTGGTAGTTGTTGCAGTTTGACCAAATAGACCGGTTCCCAAAGATGTTGCTGGCTGACCAAATAGACTGGGCCCAGTGGTGGTCGCAGTTTGCCCGAACAGACTAGTACCTGAAGATGAATTCTGACCTTCAGAGCTATTTGACGTCTGTCCGAATGGTGCTACAATTGCTGTTGTAGCAGTTGTACCTGAAGATGTTTGCCCATTTTCTCCTCGGTCACTAGATGTTGTTGATGTTACAGCTGATGACTGGTCATCTGACGTGGCAGTTACAGGTGTGCTTGTCTGTCCAACAAGACTTGTCGAACCTGCAGATGCAGTAACTGATTTTCCAAATAAACCTGAGCCAGAAGTCCCAGCTTGGCCAAATAAATTTTGCATAGGTTTACTTACTGATGTGGGCTGACCAAAACTACCAGTAGATGAAACTTGCGGAGTGTTTTCCTCCGATTCCTCAGTTGCCTCAACAGGCGATGTCACAACAGAATCTGACGGATGACCAATCACAGATGATCCCGAACTAGGTATTTTTCCAAAGATTCCTTCACTGGCTGCTTTAGTTGTAGAAGATTGTCCAAATGAAAGAGCAGGAGCTGGTGTTGTTTTGACTTGACCGAATATGCCCGAACTGGTACTGGCAGTAGTTGGCTGACCAAACTGCACAACCGGCTTCGTTGATGTGACAACAGTTTCTATAGAAAGTGTAAAAAGTAGCTTATAGCTTCCATTAACAAGTGATTTTTTACAGTCCATAATGCCCCGCAATTGCTTATATCTTTATTTCTTAAAAGCACTTTATGTTTGGTGCCTGCTTTAGTTTTTGAAATTATGAACAGAATAGGTGTATCACACTATAAATTGACTTAAAAAAAAAGAGAGACATATTGGTTTAAATATATTTAAAATTGATTGCAAAACAAGATCTTGCAACTTATATTAATCACTTTCGAGTCTGCTTCCTGGAACCAACCAGTACTGATGTCATATGAATAAACATGGTTGTGACCTAATTAGGGCTCAAACCCATGATCCCTAGGTTGACAGGCAGACACCTTTACCACTAAGCCATTGCTTCCCTTTGACATATTTGTAGACTGTATAAAACAAATAAATGGCATAAGAACACTAATTTAAACACAGTCATACCTGATTTTGTCTCGGCTTGGATTGTCGGTGGTTTAGTTTTACCAAACAAACCAGTTATCTGACCACTACCTGGTTTACCTGACAATAATAGTCACATTTTATTATAGTACACTACAAAAACTTCAAATTAAAACTATCATCTGAGCAGAAAACTTTTTAAAATATTTTTTTTACAAGTACATTACAAACTAATTAAATTTGACACATTTTCTATCTATTTGACACATTTTCTATCTGTGTAATATAAATATTAAAGAACCACCAAAAATACTCATTTTGTTCTTGTAAACAGTATATTGTATGCTGTATTGTTTTATTTTTCTTATTTAATTTTTTTTCAAATTTAAATTCTGAATTGTCACTGCATAAACTTGTGGGCCAGTTGCAAAGTAAAGTTTACTTTGGTTTGAAAGTACTAATGCAAGGGTTATAAGGAATATCTAAGGAGTATTTTGTTTAATGGTGAAAGTAATTTGTTCACAAAAGTGTAACAAACTATAAAATGTCAAATTTATGTTCTGTAGTACTTGAAACAACAAAATATTGCAAAAAAAACTTTGGATATCAACAATATGTCAAGATTAGAGAAGAAAAATATTAGCTTAAACATCTCATATTTTATATGTCCCTGCAAAATATTCTTCACTATAAACACTCACTTTCAGAGGAGCTTTTTGGCAAGGTCTGCTCTGTTTTATTTGCAGCAGACTCAGTCTCTGTTTTACTACCAAAACTTGGTGTCCCCGCAGTTGAAAAATTGAAACCAGTCTGTGGTTTACTGCTCTCTGACTGTCCACCAAATGTAGATGTTGAAGAACCACCTATAGTGTGTGAAAAGTTTTTTGTTATATTAAATACGAAGATAATTTACATCATATGTTTTTGTTTTAACAGTATAAATCCGATACATGTAACTTAAGAGTTTTGCAAACGAAATGTTAAAAAATACCTAAATGATGTTAAATGTGCATTTTCAAACTAATTCAAAGATTTTAAAACAAGCTTGACAAACATTAAAGGAATCAGGTTGAAACTGAAATAAGCTATTAAATATAAAGGTTGCTCAATTATAAATAATTTATAGACCAGCCTTCAAAATCACAACCATTTTTTCCAAATGCCAACATGACTTGCTGCTTAAATATAAAGATTAATATTTCATTTTGATTTTTCTAGCAGATTTAAACAAACTATCACTATTTTAGGTTTGAATCAAACCTACCTGCATTAAAGGTAAATCCAGCAGCTGGTGTGGTCTCCTCTGTTTCAAACAACTTCCTTCCAACAGGTGTGCTAGTTGCTGAAGCACCGGGGAATTTAAAACTGTCCTGGGCATTCTTGCCAGGGGCTTTAACTGTGACAGGTGTTGATGTAATGGCATCTCCTGGTATTAACGGATATATTTTCAACTTTAATTCATATCCAGGTATTTAAAAATTTTCTTTCCAAAGTATCAGAGCTCCTTGAAAATTGAATATAACACACTTGCCTTAGCTTATTCCTTGTTAAGTATATAGATTAATCATTCTGAACAGGAAAAAATAACACTGATTAAGTTAAAAGTAGACAAATTTACATTTAATAATCAAAATTAAGTATAATAAAGAGACTTTATTTAAAGAGGCAACATAGATAGGCAAGCCCAGTCTTCCCTATGAGCCTCTATCAAAATGTACATATATACCAAAAATTATAAAGTAAATGTTTAATGCCACATAGTTGAACAGTAAACTCTACTTATAACAATATGCCGCTGTCGCCACAGACCTGACTCTTTGTTTTTAAATGGTTGCCTCGTTGATATAACAATATAAATTTGGCGGGCACCTATATAAACTTATAAAAGGATTAACTGTATTTCCTTCACCAGACACAACTAAACGCATTTTGCCATAACCCCACAAAATTACTAACTACCTGGCACACTTGTTGATGTAAAATTGTACTGCGTGCCGAACCCTTGTTCGTTACTCTCGCTAGAATCTTCGTCATACTCATCGTCTTCCTCCGTATCCTCGATGTCATTCTCCGATCCACTCGGTGTTATATCTTCAAATTTTATCCCATTGATTTCCTTCACTTTTGTCACTATTCAATACAAAATAACATATTTAATCTACAATCAATTTCTGTAGATAATTTCCTATTTAAAACAAATCAAGCAATTTGTTTGGACAAATTAACTAAAAATAATATACAAATAATGTGTAAGAAACACTCAAATATCTGCCTCCATAATAATTAATATAATGACTAAAAGCATGGCTTTACTATGGGAAAATCTATTTTTAACCTCAGTGAACTTGACACTGACCCAATTGATCTTAAAATACTCAATTCAAAATCAGATGCTCATAGAAAGTAACACTACACAGAACATATAAGTAATCAGTCAATAAAACATGCTGTTATAAGAACTATGAAGAAGTGTGAGAGAACAAATAAAAGAAAATAAAACACCAAATAAAATAGGTCCTACACCAATATTAACATCATTGTTATGCCAAATTCAACAGTGTGGCACCAATGTGGAAATGGTTTCGTATATTGGAAGTAATAATACAAAGGCGTTGTGTAGGTTCGATCTGTATTGACTCTCGATTCAATGTGTACCAAATCTCAATAGTAATATATCAACAATAACAACATACGTCAGAAATGACGTTGACGTCAAATAGCGCGGTAACACTTAACATAGATAATAGCGTTAATATATGTAGTTATCTTGCGGACAGTATCATTATCTACGTCTTATATACATACTAACAAAACCTTTATGCTGCTAAAACTATACAATCTTTTTGCCTATTATAATGTTATAATATGACCTGGCTACCCACCTTGTGTGCTTTGAAATGGGGCAGCCTGTACTGTCCTTGGAATGCCAGTAGGTTCTTGTCCCCCAGCAGGTTTAGAAGTCATACCAAAACCTTGACCAAAACCTTGACTGGCAGGCACTGTAAAATGTTGTATCAAATACTTAAATATCTGTCATATATCATTGGCAAGTTTTATGAATTTCTATTTTCTTAACCCATAAATTTTAATGAATGAACTGTTCCAATTTCAAATTGGAAAAAAGTCAGTTGTACATTTTAGGGATGTTGAACAACCATTTAGCCTTATTTGCATTGATTTCTCATTTTCATCATTGAAGAAATAATCAAACAATAAATAAGTTTTTTTCAAATTTTTAAAAAGAGGAAATGATATGAGTAATAACGGGTATACTTAGATGCCACATAGCAAAATGAAAATAAAATGAGAAACAATTTCAGAGCAAAAGAGCATTTTGTAATCTAAATAACAAATCAACCAGCATTGCCTAAACTAGAAGCTATCACATCAAGCATTCTGATATGATAAGTTAATAACAGCACCTAAATTTGCTTTAATTATACTTCATATTGTCAACTGAATACTTTGTAGTCGCAAAGAAAGAATTACCTGTTGGCTTAGTCTGTGACTTTTGCTGCAGTACCTGGCCACCTTTCTCTGTACTCTTTTCAATAATCTGACTAAAGAACTGCGACCTTTGACCATCTTTCTCTGACTTATCTTTCACTTGATCCTGCTTGTTTTTCTCATTTAAGTTTCTCACAGTCTGGGCAGGTGCCATGGAATTATCATTCTTTTTTCCTTTATTCGGTGGGGCTGATGTCCGCCTGGTCATGCCGACAAAGTCTCCTAAAATTAACATACATGTCATGTTCATTACCTCAATAATAATTATTTACCTGTGTCATCTTTTCATAAATTTTCTAAGAAGATGGGAAACAGGCAGATAATTTCAAATCTCAAGTATAAGACTAATATTATTACATAGCTGAATTTATTCAGCACTAACAGTTACACAATAAACAAGATAGCTTTGATTATGATAAAACAAGAAGCCCATTATGGCCCTTTATGTACACACAGACACCTGAGTAAAAATTGACAAAGTTTCAAAGGACAACATAATGATATCAAACCATAGTCTTGATTTTAAAAACGATAATTTTATCACATTTGTCCCAGCAGTAAAGAAAATGACGATGTTTAGTAGAAAAGAAACGGACAAATTCTCCTCAAACCCTAAAACATTGACTTTGATAAAAACAGATAAAACTGACCTGCACTTGAGGAGCCATGGAGAATTGCAGGTTGTTGTTTAGGTTGTCTGGTACTAAATCTTCCAAGCTGATTGTCTGGTATCTTTAACACTGACAAGTTTTCTGAATAGGAAAAACACAAAATGTCACCAATTTCATATTTTTTCTTTGATTTCAGTATCAGTTTGTAGCTTGCTTGGTAACTTACTCAGTCTTGAATGTTTGACTTATAGATATATGCAATGTCGTGTCACTGGGAGCCATATGTGATTTGGTCCTAAAAGCAAATCAACTTCACAAATATATTGTGTTATCAAATTAAGATTAAAGAGGAGCAGTGGCATAGTGGTTAAGGTACCTGCCTATCATCTCAGGTATTGTGGGTCTGAGCAATATTTCCTGGTTAGTTCCAGGATGCAAACTCAAGGCAGATTCAAATAAATCATAATCTTTCTTCACAACTAAGCTTAAATGAATGTTCAAATCAAGATTGAATCAAAGTGGATATCTTCTAATGATGTTAATTAAACATATACCAAAGATGTAATACTTTTGCTAATATAACAACAATTTTATTCAGATTGTCTTCAAATCTAAGAACTGCCAAGTCTGTTTTGTTTGATTTCTTTGTCATTTTTTTGCCTTTTCCAGACTGTAACACCAAGGTCACAACTGGCATTTTCGTGTTTCTGATCAGCGCCCCATGTAGAGAAAATACCATATGGCACAAATCAGCCACCATAGTTTTGTGTGTAAATCATTTTTTTTTTCAAATCAAGAATTAAATTCATCTGAAAACCTAATTTGAGAGATATTCAGAATATTGAAAGTAGTGCATCTTTTCCAAACGTACCAGGTTTAGTTGAGCGTACCACTGATACATTACGTCTGCACAAATGATCTCTCAGTCTCTCTAACCTGTCTCTGTTCACCTTTTTCTCTCCTTCATTAGAATACTCTTTCTCAGACTTAACCGGATTCCCAGAAAGAAGAGAGTCTGCCAAGTTAGACAACTCTGCTGTTGTGCTAAAAATAGAAAATACTAAGTTTTTATTATAAAACATTAGAATTGTAGATAAAACAATATTTAAAATGCATCAGTGTTAACAGTTTTTAATAAAATTAGGATCTTGTAAGAATTTGTGAAATATCAGGGTCTTTACAACTCTATATAGCTGACACATTAGACAGGTATAAAATTTAATTTATACATTAAAAATAAAATGATGAATATAAATGGTACTCACTTATCCTTATGATTAAAAGAAAAGTAATTCACCCATATGATTAAAAGATTAAGAACACTTACTCTCCTCTTTTGAAGGTAGAAGAACTATTGCTCCAGGCTGAAGTTTTATTGTACAATTTAAGTTGTTTTAATCGTTCCTCTAGATCTCTCAGTTTGTTCTTCTGTGCTGTAATCAGATTACTGTTACTCTTCACTACTCTGTATACAGCATCATTTGTGGGATTTTGTACCCTGTAAATAAATATAACACATATGTTGACATTAATCTTAGCAAGAAGTGGTCCAATGGTATGAGTTATGACAGGGAGAGAAAATTCCTAAATTTCAACTTTAAATCCTATCATGCAGCCTGTAAATTTCCTTGACTGAGCAATTTGACTGCAATTGCTATACATTTGTGAATATGGGTATAAATAGACCCCATGATGTATAAACCTAAAAGTGCTGTAAATGAGCAAATAATTAAAAAAGAATGATGATAAGTGGATACTAGTAGCCATATCACCTGGCCCCGTGTTCACAAAGATTTAAAGGATCAAGATCAGGATCAAAATTAATTTAAAAACTCAAATATTCTCCATTATTTATCCTCATAGATTAAAAATTAATATTAACATGATAAAACTGGACTTGAAATAGCATGTTTATGAAATTATAGAATAAATTTATTGTTACTTTTGCAAGATATGGGCATTTTACAGTTGATCCAATTATTGATCTTGATCTTAAAATTGATCCTCATTTTGATCTGATTATTTTTGTATTTATTTTGTTATTCATTGATCTATCCCAAAATAGGTTTGTTTCTTTGCAAATCAGCATTTGTTTACATTTTGAATATGTACCATTTAATTCTAGCAAAATATGATCAATATGAGTTATATAAAACAATGGTGATCTCCTATTTTAATCTTATATAAGGGTATTAAGTTACAAGCAAATATCTTAGTGGTTGCGAGATATTATGTTGTACAAGAAATTGCATGTAAAACTTTGACCTGCGTTACACTGATGCAGAAGCCCAGGTGGGGTAAGATACCCCACTTTCCTTTGAATAGTCAAGCTAAAAAGGTGTTGGAGATAAATTCATCTGTAATTACCAGTTAGTAACCTACAGTATTTGGCTATTATCCATGTTATTACACATAGCAAATTATAATACCTATTTGTTCTGTTTTTCTTCCTGTTCTGATAATCTTCCCATTGTGTGTCTAGTATCAAGTCAACATCTCTCAAACCCTGGTCCAACACCTGAAACATTACAGAAATAACAAATAAATTAAGGCATCAACACTGGTGCATGTATAGATAATTGCACTTGTAGGTAATTTAACACCATACACATGGATAACACATATTCAGCCATGTGCACAAAGTTATTAAGTTTTTTGCACCACACTGTATGAACAATGATAATTTCTGTGAATTATTCTTTTACACATCATTATTTCAAACACAATCACCTGATATTGAAGCTGTAACTGTTGTAATTTCTCCGTGCTGCCGGGATCCAGTGCTCTTGTCTTCAGTAGGTGTAGATATTTCTGATCAGTGTTCATACGCTGCCTGGTTCTACATTCTTCCCCCATAGAAAACATGTCAATTACCAGCTTCTTCTGCTCCTGCACCTCTTTATTCTGTTCCTGAAGTAAATAGGTATAATATTTTCTTTTTATTCTGTTCCTGAAGTAAATAGGTATAATATATTCTTTTTATTCTGCTCCTGAAGTAAATAGGTATAATATTTTCTTTTTATTCAGTTCCTGAAGTAAATAGGTATAATATATTCTTTTTATTCTGCTCCTGAAGTAATTAGGTATCATATATTCTTTTTATTCAGTTCCTGAAGTAAATAGGTATAATATATTCTTTTTATTCAGTTCCTGAAGTAAATAGGTATAATATATTCTTTTTATTCTGCTCCTGAAGTAATTAGGTATAATATATTCTTTTTATTCAGTTCCTGAAGTAATTAGGTATAATATATTCTTTTTATTCAGTTCCTGAAGTAAATAGGTATAATATATTCTTTTTATTCAGTTCCTGAAGTAATTAGGTATAATATATTCTTTTAATTCAGTTCCTGAAGTAATTAGGTATAATATATTCTTTTAATTCAGTTCCTGAAGTAAATAGGTATAATATATTCTTTTTATTCTGCTCCTGAAGTAATTAGGTATAAACAGGTATAATATATTCTTTTTATTCAGTTCCTGAAGTAATTAGGTATAATATATTCTTTTAATTCAGTTCCTGAAGTAATTAGGTATAATATATTCTTTTAATTCAGTTCCTGAAGTAAATAGGTATAATACGAGGGGTGATCCAAAAATTCGTGGACAATGTGTTTATCTCCATAACGTGACGTCCTACTGAGGTGAACTCTTTGGATATTATTAATCAATGCTTATTAATAAATTGACCAAATTTTAAAACAACAATTGCATTTTTTATCTATATATGACAACATCAAAACATTAAGTATCAAAATCGCAGCGCAGCTTACTTTTTCTCTGTGATGTAAACTTTTTCATCTCATTTAAACACATGTAAAACCTGTGCAAACAAAGAAAATTGCGGGAAACGTTATAATAATGTTGTTTTGATGTGTATGACGCCATTCTGTCAGTATCAGAAGACATTTTGAAGTTGCGGTTATTTTACGCTCGTGCTTTAAAGAACAGGTGCTAAAAACAGCTTTATCAAAAATGGACATCACCGATCCAGCAAAACTTCGGACAGTTATACAGTTCTGTGTAAATCTTAAAAAGACGCCTGGCGAGACAAAAACAATGATCGAAAGTGTGACAAATAAACTGTCAGTGTGTCGTTCTCTAGTTTATAAGTGGCATCGCCGATTTACAGATGGAAGGGAAAGTGTTAGGGATGATTCCCGGACTAGTCGACCTGTCGAGGTAAGAGACAAAGATACTGTTGAAAGTGTACGTGCGAAGATTAATGAAGACAGAATCTATTTAAAATTTAATTCTTCACCAAGACAATGCACCTGCTCACCGTGCCCGGGACACACAGCTGACCATTCAAATCTAGCTTGGAACAGAGGTACTCAGTCATCCACCATATTCGCCTGATCTTTCTCCGTGTGACTTCGCCTTGTTTCCCAGGTTAAAGAAAGAGTTGAGAGGGAAACGTTTTGACAATTTGGATGAGTTGAGAGGAGCCACCCAATGCATACTGTCATCATTCAGCCAGGAATGGTATGCGAGTACATTTAGAGACTGGGTCCGCCGCCATGAAAAATGTGTGTGGGTTAAAGGGGAATACTTTGAAAAGTTATAAAGCAGAACGGTAACGTAGATAACTTCCTATGAAAGCATAACGTCGTTTGTGACGTCGTAAGCTGCGCCGCGTTTTTTCATGTCTATGTATATAAAGTGGTGCAGAATCGTTAATTCTTGTAAAATCGTTACAATATTTTGAGAATTAGCCAACATATGCTCACTTAATAAGATACTAGAATTTCATGTGATTTGCTTTATTCCTTTTTGTTTTATGCATGGTGTCCACGAATTTTTGGATCACCCCTCGTATATTCTTTTTATTCAGTTCCTGAAGTAAATAGGTATAATATATTCTTTTTATTCAGTTCCTGAAGTAAATAGGTATAATATATTCTTTTAATTCAGTTCCTGAAGTAAATAGGTATAATATATTCTTTTTATTCTGCTCCTGAAGTAATTAGGTATAATATATTCTTTTTATTCAGTTCCTGAAGTAAATAGGTATAATATATTCTTTTAATTCAGTTCCTGAAGTAAATAGGTATAATATATTCTTTTAATTCAGTTCCTGAAGTAAATAGGTATAATATTTTCTTATCAACAATCATATCATGTTTTAGAGGGAAAAATGAAGTGACATTATTCAGTTTATGAATTCCAAATTTTTCAATATGATAAAGCACATATTGCAGGCCTTCAATGCAATTCTCCATCCGTTTGATAAAATTATGGAGGGAATCATGAATCTTTACGTTTCCTACTAAGTTGTAGACCATTAAAATCTAAAATATGTACATTCATTAACACTCTGATTCTGATATATATAAATCATGCATACAGCAAATTATAAAGCTTTTGATCAATATATTACTTTGTTTCTTGTATACATGTACAATGTTTATTAAAGGAGCTCCTCAGAGGTACAAAAGATAAAATTTTAAATTCTGTGGCACTTCAAACAGGAAATTAACCAAAAAATGTTTTTAAAGAAATATTATCAGAATGAAACTGAAAATCTTTTTTTTTTTTGTGATTATAAGCCTGACTTATTTAAACAGTTTTCCAGCCCAGACACACCAAAACACCTCTGAAGAGTCCCTTTAATCATATAAAATATTTGTGTTTACTTTTCATCAATGAAATACAACCAGAATACCTGGCCACTATACAAGCCATTGATATATTACATACCTGTACAGTGGTTTTAATATCTATACAGAAGTTTTCCATTTCTTGTGTCTGCTGTTTCAACACCTTCATATCATCCTTAGTACCAACAACAAAGTGTGTCCGTTTAGCTTTATATCTGAAGTCTGCTAGCTCTTTCCCAAAATGTTCAATCTGAACAATAAAACATAACACAAATATACTCTATATATAGTGTAATCTCTGCAGAGTGGCCTTCTGTACCAGGTTAGTCTTCACAGAAATGTTAACCTCTCATGAGCACAGCCTCTTGGCAACAACTAAATTATTTGTCTCCTAAAGGGTGTTACTCTGTAGTATTAATTTTACCCAAACTAAGACTTCAAAATATACTTAATCTCTTGAGAGTAACATATTTAAGTAACAACAATAATCAATGTCACCCTAATGGTCTTGCTCTGAAAGGTTGTACTGTATAAGATTTAATGGCAATAATGGATTAAGATAAGTCCAAGCTTTAACTTATCAATCTCTACCCATAACCTATTAAATATACTTGTCCATCTTTTCAACTAGACAAAACCATTTATTATTTTTAGGGAATTTTTCAAATAAGTTTTGAATGAATAGCAAACAGTGTAGACCATGATCAGATGGCACAGATATACAAGCTGATCATGGTATGCACTGGTACAGTTTAATGACAGGCTAATGGTTCAGCTTCATTATAATACATGCAAAAAGATAATTTACATCACTGTTCAATCTGTTCCATAAATAAATATATGCAACTTTAGTTAGTTAAGGTTATACAAATTTATATAAGTTCCATTGTGTTGGAAGCTATAAGTTTATTGAAACACTCTCGAATCTGTTCCTGGAACCAACCAGTATTAAGCAATGAATGTAAAGTTTCTTGTTCAAGGAAACAATGGGTTGGCTCTGACAGGGTTTGAACCCATGCAGTAAACAATCCTTACATTACTAGTCTGACCCGTAAACCACTCGGTCGCACCGCCACCGTCAACTTTAGTTAACTAGCAGACATGTTAACAATTAGGGCAGCAAATCCTTATTGATTTGATTTATGCAGGGAAACAAGTAGTCTTGTTTCATACAAGCAATTTATCAAATTCATTTTAAAACATAATTTTAATTTTCTTTTTCATAACTTATCTAGGATTCAATAATGGTGTATTTTAACAAGTAATCTCTGTATTCCATTTATTTATGATCTTTTAAAAAAAAAAAGGATGTCATACAAAAAAGAAGCCAGATTAAAACTTGTTATACCTCATCTAAAATACTCTTTGAAAACTGTTTATCAACTTCATCAGTTGCCTCCCCTTGATCTTGCTGCTCATCTTGGGTGTTGCTGACATACTGAGGTGCATCACTAGGATACTGTGGGGGAGTTTCCTTGGGAGGCGGAGCATATTTTGGAGACTGAGGTACCGCCCCTGAGGCTGGATAAGCTGGAGGGGGAGGGGCTTCTGTTGGTGACTTTGGAGGAAAAAGTCCAGCTATAATGAAGAGAATAAAATTAAATGTTTGATCAGCCATTCTTGTAGTAAACTAATTTTTTGGACAATACATGGCAGTAGTTGTACTTCCAATACACTTTCAAACCTAAGTCCAGGTAATATCAAGTTTTTCTTTCATATATTAATATAAGCAATCTTTTATTTGAATTGCTAAAAGAAATGAAACAACCATAAAATCATTATTTCTTTACCTGTTTGGCCAAGACCAGATGATTGGCTGTCAGATTTTGGTAAAGGTCGCCCTGACGTGGCAGACGGCATTCCAATAAAAGCTGAACTTTGACCTGTAAAACTTGGAGCTGGTTTACTGGCAGCTACTGCTGCTGTAGTTGATGAACCAAATCCTGATGCTGGAACATAACACATATGAGCCGCGTCACGACAAAACCAACATAATGGGTTTGCGACAAGCATGGATCAAGACCAGCCTGCGCATCTGCGCAGTCTGATCAGGATCCATGCTGTTCGCTATCAGTTTCTTTACTTGTTATAGGGTCTGTAAGCGAACAGCATGGATCCTGATCAGACTGCGCGGACGCGCAGGCTGGTCTGGATCCATGCTGGTCGCAAACCCACTATGTTGGTTTTGTCATGATGTGGCTCATTTATATATATCGTTAGAATGAAAATATCCTCGCAGAAACAAGTTTTCTCCCATGATTATTTCTTTTAATTTTTTTACTCTTCAAATATTGATAATAACTAAAGCCAGCAAACTGACCCTAAAGCAAAGGTTCGGTCATTATTACAAAGTGTAACATAAGTACATAATCATTAATATTTTCACCACAAAAATTGATTAAAGTTTATTTATATAAGTGTATCAAGTACAACACTAAGCTATTTAAAGAGCAGGAAACTTTTTTCACTGTACCTTTAAAACAAACTCTTCAAATAGTCAAGCTGAAAACTGCTTAATATGACTGAAATACATTGATATTTTGACATCATTTGAAATGTTATGTAAATGTATTTAAACATCACTCACCACCCAATGTCGATTCTGTTGGTGGTTTTCCAAATAGTGATAAACTTGCAGCATTTGCTGTTGTCTGAGGTGTCGTCTTTTGTGCAGACACACCAAATGTGGGCGTAGGTGCCTGACCACTTTGACCTTGAGCAGACACACCAAATGTCGGCGTAGGTGCCTGACCACCTTGACCCTGAGCAGACACACCAAATGTCGGCGTAGGTGCCTGACCACCTTGACCTTGACCAGACACACCAAATGTCGGTGTAGGTGCCTGACCACCTTGACCTTGACCAGACACACCAAATGTCGGCGTAGGTGCCTGACCACCTTGACCTTGACCAGACACACCAAATGTCGGCGTAGGTGCCTGACCACCTTGACCAAACAGAGAGGTTGGTGCCTTACTTGCTGGAGCAGTAGGTTTGAAGCTGAAGCCCGAGTTCTGGGTAGCTGGGTCAGTGACCTTTGCTGCAAAGGCAAACCCTGTCCCACCAGTGCCCGCTGTGCTAGTTGTTGTATTAAATCCTACAGCATCTGATATTGGACAAAAAGACAAATGTGAAAAAAAAATCAAACATTTTTTTGTGCTCAATTATATTATATTTCTATACAAGAATCCCTACACTGCCTCTGAACTTGTAACATTGCTAATGACTATCACAGAGAAATTTTATCTTGCCAGAGGATATTTGCACCAGCTACCGCCTGGATTACAAATCCTATGCTGTCCTCTATGCTGTCCACATTGAGCTAAGAGGATCAGCATCTCTTCTTATAATAGCAATTACTCTTTATAATATAATATAATATAAAAGTTATAAAAAACTGTACCTGTAACGGTCAACAGTCCGAGCAAAAACAATATGTTCTCCTGATTTATCAATTCTCAGGCTTATAAATGAACCAAAACCTTTTTAAACCAAGTCAGAAAAGGGCACACACAAGAAAAGTGATTTCTGAATTTTTTTTTGAAATTCGGTAAGTGAAAAAGTACTTTTGGTAAAAGAGAAAATTAACAAATTTTTGAGAAACTATTTTAAACAACACCCATAAAGCAGTCCTGACAATGGCTCTATCTTTTTTCATAAATGAGAACTAAAATCATCTTTGGTTCAAAATTACCTGTTGCGACTGTTGCTGATGTCTTGGCTGGGAACCCTGACGATGCAGGTGTGCTGGTTGCAAAACTAAAACTTCCGCCTAGAGTGGTTGAAGCTCCAAATGTTGAAGTACTTGAGAAGCCAGCATTAGCTCCCGACTTGTTTGTGGAACTAGTCAGAGAAAACGTACCAAATCCTGCATTTGATTGTGTCTTTGCTTCCGATTGGTCAGTTTTAGCTGCTGGTACCCCAGTTCCTGATGCCAATGAAAAGGCAGCTGGAGTACCAGTCTGGGAAGAGGAACCAGTCAGGTTGAGACCAGCACCAAATTTTGGAATAGCTCCTACATTTGTTGAGGCTGGTGCCCCAAAACCTCCACCAAAAGAGAATGGAGAAGATGTTCCAGAAGAGGAACCAGCCAAGCTAGACGCAGCAGCAAAACTAGTTTCAGCTGGTTTTAAAGCTGGCTGGGTTGTTCCAGTCCCAAAAAGATTTTTGACTGCTCCTTGTGAAGATGTGCTGGAGGGAAATGCTGAAACTGACAAAAAGAAATAAAATAAATAAAATAAAATAAAATAAAGCCAAACAGACTTTACAAATTTTTCTCAGAATCAAAATATGACCTTTTTTCAAAGAATCCAAATATTTTTAATAATGTCCTGAAAGGTTAAATAACAGTTAATGATTTAACAATACTTTTAAATCTAAAAAAGCAGGTTTTGACTTAAAAGGGAAAAAAGCTACATTTGGATGTCTGTAATCAGTAAAATTTGTGTTTGTGTCTTCAGATTTATCATAACAAATATCCTAAATTAAAATAAAGTTTTTATAAAGTTAAAGCCATGATGGCCCTGAAATTGCTCACCTGTACATAGGCCCCCAGGGCGGGGCTAATTTTAACCCAGGGGCTTTTATTTAAACAAACTTGGTAGGCACCCATTTTAAAATGTTTCATGATAAATATCTAAGCTCTAGCTCTAAGAAGACTTTTTAAGTTTTAACAATACACATATAGGGAAAAACAATGACCCCCCTTCCTCTGGACGGGACCAATTTTGTCCCAAGGGCTTTTATTTGAACAAACTTGGTAGACACTCACTAGAAAATAGTTCATGCTTTATATCTAAACTCTAGCTCTTTGGGTTTTTTAAAAGAAGACTTTTTAAGGTTTTACTATATATATATATAAGGAAAATCAATGATCCCCATGGCTGGGCCAATTTTAACCCCAGGGCCCTTATTTGAACAAAAATGGTAGACACCCATTAGAAGATGTTTCATGCTTAATATCTTAGCTCTAGCTATTAGGGTTTTTTAAAAGAAGATTTTTTAAGTTTTTACTATATACAAAAAAGGAAAATCAATGAACCCCGGGGCAGGGCCAATTTTGACCCCAGGGCATTTATTTGAACAAACTTGGTAGACACTGACTAGATGATGTTTCATGCCAAATATTTTAGCTTTAGCTCTTTCGGTTTTCTAAAAGAAGATATTTTAATTTTTTCTTTCTTTTGGTTGCCATGGCAACCAGAGTTTTGCTTGGAATTAAATTCTTTGAACAATTTTAAAGTTGCCTACCAAAGGAACATTCCTATGAAGTTTGGATGAAATTGGCTTAGCAGTTTATGAGGAGATGTCGTTTAAAGTAAAAGTTTACGAACGGATGCCTGACGTACAAAAAAAGCAATCACAAAAGCTCACCATGTCACTTTGTGACAGGTGAGCTAAAAATGTGAGCGGAACATGCCTGAAATTATCAGTATGTTTACTACTATTAGAAACTGAACATTTTTTAAAAGCAATTTTTTCGTTAAATTATTCATTTTTTATTAAAATAAGTAACAATTTTTGTTTGTTTGTTTTGTTGAATATCAGTAGCTGAACAGTTTGTTAAAGAAATTTTTTCTTATACAATTCATGCATGTTATTTAAATTTTTTGCCGTTTTGTTGAATATTAAGTTGCACTGACACTGTAAAGGTTGCACTGTGACATTCAAGCTTTATTGGCCAAGGTAAATTCAGGCACAAGCTGGCACCCAGAGTATACCACATTTTTGTTAAAACTGTCTTCAAATATGTAACTGTCAACACAATTATCACCTACAATGTGACTGTACAGTTTTTGAATTTTTATTGTATATTTCACCATTTAAACTGTAGTATACAATAAATTATATAACAATAAAGAACAGTTTTGACTTCATAAACATCATAACTTTATTTATATCATTTGGGTAAGCTTTAATAACGGTCAAATGGCAAAACTGGTAAGAAAGTTCTCTGTTTATTATTTTTGTCACAAGTGGGTACATGAATAGAATCCTGCATAAGTTAGTTTCATATCTTCTTCATGTGAAAGACATCATAATCTATGATGCAGTCAGGGAAAAGTGACTTGAAGTCTGCGACCTTAACCACTCAGCTGGCCTTAATCATTTAGCCACGGAAGTGTGCACAACGACTTTCACTAGATAAAATGGATAGAAAATGGCTGACATACCTGTAGGTTGCCTTGTTCCTGTAGACTGAAGTGGCTGGGCTGGTACACATATAGCAGGGGCAGACGGGTGCATATACATCATATGGTAGGGTATCAGAAGTCCCTCAGTGGATAGTAACAACAACAGAGGCGAGGGTGGGTGGGTCTTCTCATCTCCTGAAAATTCAAAACCCAGAATTGAATATTTTGTCGATTAACAATACAAATGCATTTACCTCTGTACTTTTATCATATGAAATCTTCCTTAGCATAACTTTTTTTCTTGAATCATATACATAAAATCACATTTTTTACTTAAAGAGTAAATCCATTTAGTTTACAACAAATCAACTCAAACAAGGAATTCCTAAACAACTACAATTGCCACAAGAAAGACAAATACCCCTGGCATATTTGTTACACAAGTTTATATAGATCTATTCATTAAAAATTTTTTTTTTTTTTTTGGTTGGGTTTTAAGTCAAACAAATTCTACCAAGGTCTTATGGCATTGTTCCAACTTCATTGGTAGTCTACAACCCAAAACAACTGAATGCATGCTGAAAAGCATGTTAAGGTGTTTTATGTTGTTGGTTTCGGTCGATTTGTTTGGTTGGATATTTAGTCTCATCAATACTCTGAAGGACATGTACCAATTTTAAAGCTATACTGGTGAGGAAGACCTGAAGTACCCATTCAGTTTAATATTTCAGGCACAAGTGGGCACATGAGAAGAACCAACCATCTTTCACTAAACTTGCTGGGTTGATACCCTAAATAAACAAATCCAGTCCCTGACAGGATTTGAACTCATAACATTAAATGCTTGTCCAAAGATACTCAAGATAATGGTGAAAGAGAATTACCTAAAGGTATAGGACGTTCTGATGAAAAATCTACAGAGAGTCCCATAGGATATGTATCAGCATAACTATCAGTGAGTGGACACTCTGCCCTGGCTGAATCATCCAGATTCCATCTCTCCCATGTACTCTGAAATATGCAATATATAACAATTCAATGACTCAAAACTTACCAAAATTAAAAAGAAACACAAGGTAATTCTATCAGACTTTAAGACACCGAAATGTTTATATGTTCAGATATTATTCTTTTCCTTTAATGTCTAAATTCAATATTTGTCAAGGGTAAAATTTAAGCATATTTAACACATAACCCGAAGCACAGGAGTGTAATAAAGCCATTTAATAACAAGAGCGACCAGTGATCACGTGTCGCCTCATGATGGCCAATTTCATGTTGTGACAAGTTTTGTGACAGACGGACAGACAGACGGACAGTGCACAACTAGACTTGGTACTGATTATCCCTGAAAAGTTTGGATAAAATTGCACCAGTAGTTTATGAGGAGTAGTCCGGACAAGCTTTTGTGTATCTGGCAACACAAAGAAAAATACACCTTTTTCTCAAAGGGCCATAACTCGGCCAAAAATCATTCAACCAGAAAACTGGTGCAATATGCTCAAGGACTTGAGCTACAGATCAATCCTGTAAAGTTTCATTGAAATTGCATTAGTGCTATAACAGAAGTAGTCCAGACAAACTTTAAAAATAAAAATTATTAAAGGGCCATAACTCTGACAAAAATCATTGAACCGGAAAATGCTGACAATATGCACAACAAGACTTGGTACTGATCATTCCTGTAAAGTTTGGATGAAATTGCACCAGGAGTTTATGAAGAGTTTTCCGGACAAGCTTTTGTGTATCTGGCAACACACAGAAAAAAACACATTTTTATCAAAGGGCCATACATAACTCGGCCAAAAATCATTCAACCAGAAAATTCGTGCAATATGCGCAAGGACTTGAGCTACAGATCAATCCTGTAAAGTTTCATTGAAATTGCATAAGTGGTATAAGAGAAGTAGTCCGGACAAACTTTAAAAATAACAAGAGCGATCAGTAATCACATGTGTTGCCTTATGATGGCCAATTTCATGTTGGGACAAAGTTTGTGACAAACGGACAGACAGACGGACAGTGCACAACTGGACTTGGTACTGATCATTCCTGTAAAGTTTGGATAAAATTGCACCAGTAGTTTATGAGGAGTAGTCCAGACAAGCTTTTGCGTATCTGGCAACACACAGAAAAAAACACCTTTTTATCAAAGGGCCATAACTCGGCCAAAAATCATTCAACCGGAAAACACTTGCATTATGCGCAAGGACTTAAGCTACAGATCAATCCTGTAAAGTTTCATTGAAATTGCATTAGTGGTATAAGAAAAGTGGTCCGTACAAACTTTAAAAATAAAAATTATAAAAGGGCCATAACTCTGACAAAAATCATTGAACCGGAAAATGCTGATAATATGCACAACTAGACTTGGTACTGATCATTCCTGTAAAGTTTGGATGAAATTGCACCAGTAGTTTATGAGAAGTAGTCGGGACAAGCTTTTGTGTATCTGGCAACACACAGAAAAAAACACCTTTTTATCAAAGGGCCATAACTCGGCCAAAAATCATTCAACTGGAAAACCCTTGCAATATGCGCAAGGACTTGAGCTACAGATCAATCCTGTAAAGTTTCATTGAAATTGCATTAGTGGTATAAGAGAAGTAGTCCGGACAAACTTTAAAATTAAAAATTATTAAAGGGCCATTTCTCTGACAAAAATCATTGAACCGGAAAATGCTGACAATATGCACAACTAGACTTGGTACTGATCATTCCTGTAAAGTTTGGATGAAATTGCACCAGTAGTTTATGAGGAGTAGTCCGGACAAATTTTGTGACGGACGGACGGACAGACAGACGGACGGACAGACGACGGAGAAGTGATCCCTATATGTCGCCACTACTCCGTAGAGGCGACACAAAAATTATTAAAGGGCCATAACTCTGACAAAATTCATTGAACCGGAAAAAGCTGACAATATGCACAACTAAACTTGGTACTGATCGTTCCTGTAAAGTTTGGATGAAATTGCACTAGCAGTTAATGAGGAGTAGTCCGGACAAGTTTTGTGATGGACGGACAGACAGAAGACGGAGAAGTGATCCCTATATGTTGCCACTACTCCGTAGTGGTGACACAAAAATGATAATACTAGACGATATTACACTAGTGTTATAACACTTTGATGTGACGTCATTTGCTCTATAAACTCTATAAACATAGCGTTAAAGTGTGCTAAATAAAACAATAAAGTGCATTGAATAAAATAATATTATGCTTGCCAGAGGCTCACATAATATGATTTTATTCAACTTGTTCAATAAATTTAGTATTAAACCTACACTCATTCAATATCCTCTATTTCTACTAGAATTTTCAGTGAAGCAGCCATATTTGTTTTGTTACATTTTGAACTTGGCCAACAATTGAGAACATGTGCCACTAAAGATCTATTTTATTTGTAGCTTTGCAAATGGAAAAACAAGGCACTGTGGCATTAGCCATTTAAGAAAATGTTACCTTATTATCCAAATGTTTTCCGACAATGCCAACCTCAGCTGCATTACTCGATGCAGTCAGTACCATATCCCTGTAATACACAATAATATATTTTATTCATAATACATGTATCACTATGAACCTATAGCTACACACCTCTAAACGCTCGAAAAAAATTTAATGATAAATACACAAACACATAGAATCGTGTAAATATTCATCATGTCAGACACAGTTATGCAAGTTTTACAATGCATGTATTGTTCGTGGATATGAAGGTTAATTTTTCATACATTATTACATATTTTATGAAACATACATCATTCCTTTAAGATATGAACAAATATTTACAATCTAACTTACAGTTTTGCATACTTTAAGTAAAATGTGACAGTATTTAGTGTTTTTTATCACACAATTATTGTTTGATATATTAAGTGCCCTACAAAAGATTAATTCACGATTATTTTCATACATCATTTTAACATTATTTATATTATAAAAATTTACAGATGAATGCAGAAAATTATCATAATTGTTGTTTTATTCTATCAACAACTCACCATTTCTGTACAAAACTAAACAGATACTTTCTCTCTCTATCCTCCCCAGTGCCAAAACATAGGTCCTCAAAATTTACATAAGTTGCTGGTCCATCTTTCTGTAATAATATATATTAAATATAATCAGTTCTGTAATAATGTGTTGTAACAATAATGCAGTATCCCCTTACACTACTTAATTTTAATAATGGGCTTGTCTTGCTTTAGAAATAGAAACAGTCCATTACTATTTTAAGGGATTTTAATGTAGGAAGCACTAAATTTGAGACTTTAACAATAACATACAAGATCGGACTGAATCAGATTTTCAAGCCAGTCTGGTTCTAAAGTAGTGGTATAGGCATGTCACTATGGCAAACAAGCATTTTTCTAAGCTTTTCTGTTACAGAGTGTTACAAGATTTAAGAAAAATTCCTCCTTGATGTTCCAAGTGTGAAAAGCTCATTGTAGGGAAAATAATTCAAAGGTTTAATCGATGATTAAACTGTTGCTGCTTAAAAATTTTGAGTCAAAAAAATATAAAATTGTCAGTGTTTGACTTCAAATTAAATAGATTTAATTGAAAATTAACGCTTGCTTTTTTTAATAATCTTTAAATTCAAGCTTATTTCCAAACTTAAATGTCATTTCAGTGTCATTTCGAACCTATACCTTTTATTTCAATACCAATTTAAGCAATAACTCAGTTCATGATCATTATCTATAACAAAACATTGCTTGAACAATTGGCAGCAAACTGGATTTCACACTTAATGACATTTAATATATTTTCTTGGTACAGATGAAAAAAAGTTTACCGCTCCATTTATCATGACTGTTGTAGGTTGATCCTCGTTCTGGGCTCCCAGCGCGACGTATGCTACCAGAAATGTATATGTAGACAGCCACACAATGTCAATAGCTAAAATAAAACAGATATACATATAAAATTATATAGCTGACAAAAAAAAATTGTTAGATTTTTTAAAAATACCTGTAATTTTATAACTAACAATGTAATCCTAAACTGAATTTATTAATAAAATCAAAGCTATGCTTACAAATTAATCAAAGACCCAATGTGTATATTTATTTGTGAATATTATATATAGATTGATTTCTTTATATACTTGCAAATATTTTAAATACACTTGAAATGCAAGAAAGCACAATGAGCCGCGCCATGACAAAACCAACATAGTGCGCTTGCGACCAGCATGGATCCAGACCAGCCTGCGCATCCGCGCAGTCTCATCAGGATCCATGCTGTTAACTTACAAATCCTATAACAAGAAGAGAAACTGACAGCGAACAGCATGGATCCTGATCAGACCGCGCAGATGCCCATGCTGGTCTGGATCCATGCTGGTCGCAAACCCATTTTGTTGGTTTTGTCATGGCGCGGCTCATATTATATTACAAAAGTTTACAACTGAAAAGTAACTCCTGTTGTCATTATCTATGCAATTAATATTGTAGCTAATTTTTTTTTCTGGAAAACTTGATTTATCAGCCAGGAATAGAAATAAACAAAGAATATAACAAAACTTTCAGCATACTGTATAGGAGACATTACAGCAGATATAGGAAAATCTGACTGACTGTAGTAAACAATATCAAAAACAAGAAAGTTCTCATATACAACAAACCTTCAGAAGCTGCTGATGTGAGTATATTAGGAGAATCCCATTTTCTTTTCTCATTTAAATCTGGGTCATACTGTACTAACTGACCGTCTTCTCGTCCAACAACTAACTGCTTTCCTTTTGGACTCCAACAAACTAAAAGTTTAAATTTATATTAATTTTACCATATGTTATGAGAACATACACCAGTCAGTGCCTGTTACTAATCAATCCTTGATATTTCACCATTCAATTCATTAGGGACCACAATGAAAATAAGGGTTTACCCTTAATTGTTAAAGGTTTACCCTTTAACTGTAAGGGGTTTACCCTTAATTTTTTATGCTTTTGTTGGGTGCTGTTTATTTTTCCTGTGCTAGTTTTGTATGTTAAGTCTCACTGCCTGGATCAAATTTAAACCCAGTATGTACTTTTATGCAAAATGAAATCTTGCCGAATCTTAAATTTCAATTATAACACACAGCAAATTTTTACAACATTGCTGCAAATTTACAGAAATAAAATTATTATACAGAAACTAAAAAGCTGCCTTTTGTATCATACAAACATTTCTAAAACATTTAAATAAATTTAACACATTTATTCGAGTAACAAGTGATCTCATTTATTTTTGCCTAATTCACAAGTCTTCCTGTGCAATAACAAATCACTAGCAACTTTGTATCGACAGGATTCCAGGCTAGATCATTAACACGCTGATTTCCTTCGCCAACTATCATATGTGATGCTTGCACGGTTCCCGACACCTGTAATACACAACTAGCTTTAGTAATATACTTAATTTTAGGTTTCTTTTATGCCAAAAAAACCAATGAAGAATGGTGCCCTGTATTTGGCTAGAATTAAACCTCATTAAAATATCTTACAGCAAAACTTTCTAAATATGTTTACAGTGTGTGATATTTTTTTTCATTTTATTTTTTACGTTTTTAGTTGGGTAGCGTTGATTTTCACTCCGAATCAGTAAGCCACACTGAACTTACCACAGCACAGTTTATAGCGACTGCATCATTCCTTGGCAGGCTGTCAAACAGTTTACCAGTACTAATTGCATTCTTTTTCGCAAGGAACAGATAACTTCTGTACATACCAGAGTAGTGGTACGGTGCAAATAACCATAAAAAGATTTCATGATCAATCACAATGAAAGTGACTTTCACCCTACGGGAATCAAACCTAATTGACCGATTCACAATCCAACACTCTACCTATTGAGCTAACCAGACAGCTACTTTTTGAGTTGGGTTTGACACCTACACTATTTAAAGTTCATATAGTGACTTTCAAGTAATACGGATGGAAAAATATCTCACAGTATGAAATGGTTATGAGTATTTTCATGTACAGTATAAAAAAACAAAATAAGAAATCAGTATTACAGAATACCGATACTGTACATCAGTTCTGTTAAATAGCCTAAAGCTTTGAAACCAAAATGGATCCGAATAAACATGATAACTTCTACAGGTGCTTCTTTCATCGACAACAATAATACAAACATATGTATAACAAATTAAAATGTGAGCAAACCTGTCCACCAAAGCTGGTTACATCATAGAGGTAAACAACAACATGTTCTGGTCGGGTAATGGCCACTGCCAGGGTACTTTCATCAGCATTAAGCTGTATATGGGTCACTTCGTAGCCTATATTCACGTCGGCTAACAAGGGGAAGTCTGTAATAATGTGCTTCAACCGGTCAGATGCGTGCTTCTCATCTTGGACATAAAACTCTGATGTCTTCAAAACTTTAAACCCTGCGAAATATTAAAAAATATTATTACCAATAAATTAAAACAATTGTTTCAATAGCATTGAATACAAGATCTCAAGCATGACAACTTTTTTTAGTAGGCTGCAAGTCTAAAAACATAAAATTTAAAAAATTTACTTAGATCTACATCATCAGCTGGAGCACTTAAAATTAATATTTAGTATTTAAAATGCTTCTTATTTTCTTCTTAACACAAAGTAACTGGGATCTCAAATTTTGCTTGCAAGCTATTGGCAACAACCTGCATCAAATGGTATGAAAATCTTGAAAAAAAATTCAAGTCTCATTCATATTAAAAAAAACAACTTAGATTCTCTTTTATTCAAACATAGTTCATGTAATCTTAATTATCATCAATGAAATATTGAATACCAGTATTATTCTTACAACTGAACATTTTAGCTTTCTTTGTAAAGCCGCATTATATAGTGTGCGTAAAGAAGAAGTTCAAGAACACTGGACATTCCTTTTCAATCAATGTCAACTCTATTTTTTACCATTTTGTACTCCAACAAATGTAAGCCCATATTTTGAAGATGCTGCAAGTAGGTCAGATCTTCTAGGAGGAAGTGATTGAGGAGTATCTGTAACACGGACTTTGCACAACTGTTGGAATTTAAAATCCTGAAAAACAAGCCATGATATATACATAAGTTATTGTACAAGTATGTGTAAACAGAATTTTCTACTTACTTTAACATACCAAGCAGTTACACAGACATCTGGCCAAAATGGAATAAGGAGCCAACTATTTGTTATTTTCTTTTGTTAAATAGGGGCCCTTGGTCCCATACTCTACCTTGTCAAATTGAACTTAATTGTTCTCGTTTACAGTAAGATGGCCCCCTATGGTCTATTCTTATTCGGTAGTGCCTCTTAACATTTTACCTAGTTGGAAATAATTCTCACAAAAGTGTCAGTTACCAAATATTTTTCTTTCTGTTTATGTTATACATTATGCTCAATAAACAAACAAAGTTTAAAGGAATTCTTCATTATTTTACTAGAAATATGATTTTTAATGTCATAAGCCCGATCGGGCATTTTCACAGGCCTGTAAAATGTTATTGCAAACAAAAACATGTTAAAAATTCTCCCCCCCCCAAATTTTCGATGACAGGGGGTACATGTACCCCTACATTTGAAATTGAGTGGGCATACTGCTGAATAGATACAGAAAAAAATTACCAGTCGCGAAATTACATGTCATTAAAATTTTTTCCCTTTGTTTTCCGTTCAGGGGGGTTGGTTTCCCAAGTTTAATCATACAAAATTTAATTTCATACAAAAAAATATAAAAAAAGTTTTTTTGTATAATTAAAACTTTCCCCGTTTAGTAACTACCTTTTTCGTTTTTTTTTTTTCTGAAATGCTAGACTAAATGAAAAAATTTGAAATAGGTTTCAACACACCATATGATTTCAGGGAAATTTGCAGGCCAGTCCCCAAATTTTAAATTTATTTAAAATTTTTTAGTATAAATAACACCAAATAATTAAATTTTTACAGACATAATCAATGACAAAAAAAAAGGGGGAGCCAAAAGTCTAAAACATTATCGGGGCCCTTCCCTGGGTAGTCAAAAAAGTTTTTACTATTTAAAAAAGTTGGAATTAAAAAAATTTTATAAATTTTCTTTTTAAGTTTTTTTCGGGAAAATTTTTTCATGAACTAATTTTAATAAATGTTTTATATGTAAATATTGAATTAATCAAATGAACATTTAACAGATATATATATATAAAATAGAAATATAGATAAGCATTATAATAAAATTATGATACTAAGAGTGATTAGATTAAGTTATTTAAATATTTTAAATGTATAAAGTATAAGTTTTCAAAAGTCAATAGTGTTCCATTTAAAGTTATTTATAGCTTTTGAATTACGTGTTCTAAGTATCAAATTTTGAGAAAAAGGAATAAATAATAGAATGAAATAACAAAATTATTGTATTTGTTACCAAAATTGAAAACAAAAATAAAAATAATACTATTAATAAATAAATAAATACAAAAATATTCACCGCACAAAACTCTGCTTAATCTTAAAGTACTGTTTCAGCAGTAAAATATTTGATTTTATTCAATTAAATCTCTTGCTTGATTTAATAAAAGTCTGTACTTCTTTAAAAAGAATTTCATTTTCGGATTCAGATCGCCCTTCTATTCCAAACAAACGTTTCCGTACACTAAGAGGATGAAAAGATCTTGTATTTAAAAACAATGTTCTTCTTTGTTCATTGTATAAATTGCATTTAAAAAATAGTGTTCTGAATTTTCAATAAGTGCTCCACATATACAAGATGGACTTGAAACAATGTGATTATCATATAAATCCGAATTAAGGTTACTGCAATTATTTCTTAAACGAGTATGATGTACAGTAGAGAAGCGTTCACCTTTAATGAAAAATGAAGGGACCGATGGGGATTTAAATATTTTTTTAATATTTGCTTTAAAGGAATGGCGGGATTCTGATTCACGTATATTAATTGGAAGATGAGAGCATTTAAGCTATGATTTGTGTAATTATGTAACGACCTTTGGTTATAATTCCTGCATTAATTTTGTTTAGTTCAAAGGGTTATTATTAAATACCCCAAGGTACCACATATAAATGAAATAAATTTGAAAACGACAATTTCACATGACATGTCTCACAACTTGCAAATGAATAGTTCATGAACAATCGGCAGAAGTGCTTTTTCAGTAAAGTAGTATTCTCAAAATTGAGGTTTCCGAGAATTGATTATTATAATTTACACAAACTTGAACAATCATCTGGAATTTTTTATTGATCATTTTTATAAATTAATGTTTCATGTTACCAAACTATATAAGTACAAGTATATTTTTATTATACTTGTCCCGTCAGTGTTTGGTTTTTGCAAAAATGCTAGAACGCGACATGTAAAGATGATTCCAATATTTTGCAAAAGCAATTAATTAAAAAAATCCTATTTAAAATATACATTAAGTGGGTATCACTGCATTAAAATAGTATAACACTCAACCACAGAATATGTATGTTTAATATTTTTGAAAATCAAATATGTCAAATATTTGACATGGTAAAACTGAATTCTTTGTACATGTGTTTAGAAGAAAAATCAAAGCACTGAAAGTACTGAAGTATACATTGCTTGATAATATAATCCATTTTTGTCATCAAAGCCATGTTGATTTTAACCTACTGACCTCGAAAACAATAGGGGTCATCTTCTGACCAAGATCAATGTCCCTAACAAGTGATTCACATGCACCAAGGCTTTTTTCTTCAAAAGTTATTTATGAGTCAAGGAAGATGTAATGTTCCATCTGTGTATTGCTAGGGCAAGCTGATAGATGAGCAATAAAGAAATCAACACCCGTTAAATGGACTGCAGTATAGAATATTGAAACAGTCATATTGAGTTTCCAGTGATGCTATCTGATAAAATACATGATCTGGCTTGAACTCTATACATAGTCAATTAATTGAATCATCCTACAAGACTTAATTACCAAATTATAGTACACCAATGTACTGTACTTTGATGCATTAATAAATATATTCCGGTTAGTTGTATTAATCTCTACACATTAATTTTCAAATGCATTACTTTATCGTTAATTAATAAAAATGAAATCTATAATCACAACAATTCAAATGTACTGTAATATTTTCATTATTCAATAATTGTTACATAATTATAGTCTTCATGAACAACCTTTCCAAGAAATCCGTTTATATTGGACAGCAAGTTAACAAGGGTTTTTCCATAATTAGGTTGTGTTACCAACTTCTTAACTTTAGATGAACCATTGAGCTATAACATTTTTTTCTATTTTTTGGCTACTGTGACATACTTCTGATTTTCAACCAAGGTGATCCATGTTCAAACTCGAGCAAAACCTGTCACACACATTCTTACGATGTTGTGTGACAATTGGGACAAAAGTGTGACCAGTAGAGTGTTAACAAACTAAATGACCAGCAGAATGTTAACAACTGTAATGTCAGCGTCGGATACACATGGTTGATTAACATTTAACATGACATAACTGATAAATGTAAATGGTTCGGCCGTGGGTATCCGACGATGCTAAATGTGGATATACCAGAGTTGACATAAGATGGATGGCCGACATTCAACAATCTAAAACCTCACCCTGAGCCAACCTATAAGTTTCACCACTGACTTTTTCATACTGTACTTATTACAAAAAATAACTGACATTTTACAAAGGTAATAAATTCTATGTCATAGTTATTCATTTAAACGGTTGAAAAATGTATTTAGCAGCATTTTTTTAAAAATATATTTAGTATTTTATTGCAAGTAAAATGTGTTGTTTGTTTATTTTTTTTTCTATGTTTTTGACGCTAGGCAGTATCATAGCCGATAAACAGTTTCATACAATGTTTATTACAAAAATATTACTGATATTTTACATTGCTTACACATATAATGTTATAATCATTCATTTAGACGGTTGAAAATTTTATTTAATAGTTCTTATTTTTGAAATGTCCATTTCATCGCAAGTAAAATGTGTTGTTGTTTATTTTATTATTATTATTTTGGGCTTTTCCATGTTTTTGACGCTAGACCGTTACGTAGCCGAAAAACACTTTCATGCTGTATTTATAAAAATAACATCACTGACATTTTACATTGGTAACAAAAGAAAGTAATAGTTATTCATTTAAAAGGTTGAAAACAAATAGCGGCTCTTGTTTTAACTACGACTATTTTAATGCCCGTAAAAATGTGTTTTCCGGCTTTTCCATGTTTTTTTGACGCTAGACTGTTACTTTGCCGAAAAACACTTTTATATCGCATTTATACAGAATAGAATCATTCTCCTATTTACACTGGTTGCAAAAAGAAAGTAAATTTTAATCATTTAAAGGATAGAAAAAAGTAGATAAAACTTATTTTGTTGGAATTATACCAATTGTATATATCATCGATTTAAAACTGATATTATTGAACCCATTTCATCAAATAACCGACAAAAACCAATTTCATCAAATAACCATCAAAAATTGTTTATATTACTGAATTAATATTTCTTTGTATTTTAAGTGTTTTTCGGTATTTTTTTGTGTTTTTCGGCAATTAATAATATAAGCAGATTAAAATAACATAATGTATTTATTTCTTAATGCTTACACTGATTTACAGTTTCAAATGATTATTTCTTCTCGTCGAATCTTGCCACATATGCCTATATTTAGCTCCATACTCTGGCTTAATCGTCAATATCCCAAGTTCGACGAATTGTTATGGGTCGAACGGCCGAATCTTTATTTTTACCCGTACTGAATCAGACAATCTTCGCTGAATTTCGAAACATATTTCTTTTCAAAAATCTAAGGCATACAAAAGTGAAAGGAAAATCATGTGTAAAAAAGGTATTCAAAAGAATAGCTTACGAAATTTCTATTTTTCGAAGCTGGTCCCAGTTCGAAGTCACGTTAATTGCCAGTTTAAAAAAACAAAAACAAAAAAACATTTTCCGGTATACGCTGGTAAATTTTGTTACGGAGCTCCATACTCATTTTGTAAAACATTTTAGGGCAATTTTATTGCATAAATGTAAATCAGGAATTTTATTTGATTTAATATCTATCTGAGATGTTTCGTCCCATTTATATAATACACCGATATACACTTTCAGAACTAGCAGACGACAGGCTATTCTTATCATTGCGTATCTCACTGTATAAATCGCATGTAAAATGGTCTGACGTATGGTAGGTTTAACAGTTAATTTAAATACTTTGGAGTCAAAAGATGTATTGAAGTTTATACTGTGATGAAGCTAAGATTCAAAGCTTTCTATTGGTGTAATACATTTTAAAATCGGACATTTAATCACAACAAACTAGCGGTTTAAAAAAAGCTTATTTTGTATTGTTTTAGCATAAGCGGTATCGATTTTACTCTGACGACTTGATGTATTCATTCATGCTAGCAAGCGCATGCGTATATGCGAAGTTTAACGCGTAGGTATAAACTACGATTTTATCAATGAACTGTTATTTTTTGTTTTCTTTAAAGGAATGTAGAGTCTATTACTTCATGAAAATAAACGATTTGGAACTTTCAAAGCATTTAAACAACTTTGCAAACACTATTTTAATGATGTGTAGTCGGAATACTGCAGAATGAAGAACTAGTTTCTGTTGTTCGGTAAAACATAAACCTGTAACGATTTCTGAGATATAGCTTATAACTCTGTATACATTGCAAGCAATGTATACAAAAATCATAAATCGATAATCGTCATTCTTAAAACACTTTCAAACTAATGAGAACTGGGTGCATTAATGCGTCAATTGATTGAATTAAAACGAACAACTTACAGCACAGTAACATTTTGCAGACATATCTTTCAAGAAATGATGTTTGCCAATTCTAAAAGTACCTTTAACATGGTATACAATTGTATTATTATAGACGATGAAATATGATTTTTAAGGGTTTTTATATATATGATCAGTACATGTGCTGGGATTGACAAATATACATTTTTTTTTTATTTTAAAGGCGTTTTGAGCTCCATACCCAAGTGTCTGTACTGGTACGAAGATCTTTCTTTCCAAGATCTGTATAAGAAGAAAACCAGATTAATCCACATTTGCACATTGTAAAGACCTTGCTTGGACTGACTGTAATTAGATCTAATAATGTACTTTTTTAGTATCAAGTGTTTATCTTTGCACATGTTCTAAATATGCTTACGTTGTGCATGTATTTTGTCTCGTCAGAGCCATGTTTAATGAAGGTCAGGATATGAAAATTGTGGTATGCGACCTATTGATGACAGCGACATTAATCAGAATTCAACTTCCGGTCTGACTAAAATTACAACAACAACAACAACTGTTATTGAGAAATAATAAAGTCACCTAAAAAGGGTTTTTATTGTGAAAATTAATGTTTTAAATCTGGTAATTGCATTTTGATATAGCTTCCATATATATTTGGATCTAAATTATATGAATATCTTTTAAAGTTATCTGTCAGTGTGATAACGTAACTTTTATAGGGTTTTCACTTTGGAAGTGGCTAGCCGTACGGGCCCGTACGGCTAGCCAAAAGTTCTAGCCGTACGTGAGTCACGTACGACTAGCCAGGACACACTGTATTGGCTAGCCGTACGGCACTTTTCAAAATTATATGGAAGTCGAAAATGCATATGTTATTTTATGACTTTAAGCGAGGATTTTAACCAAGAAACAGCAATTGTCTTCGTATGTTTACTTTTTAAGAGATTAATCGCCTTGTTGGCTACAGTAAAGAAAGTACGAATATATATTTTTGTCATCTCAAGACGTCGAGAAAAAATAGCTTTTGGTTGCAGATTTAAAATAACACCAATTGAAATAGTTTACAAAATTTTGATGATAATCCTTTTTGTCTCATTATGTTTAATTTTCAAATTGAAAATAAATAAATAATTGTTGTCAACTGGGATTGCGTCAAATACCGACGGTAAAGAAGTTTGTCCATCATTAAGGAAAGTTTGCATGTTCCGTGAAACGCATTCTAAAATTCTATTGTCAGTCCCTAGGTAGGCTTTAATTAAGGCTAATTAATTGATTGTGTTATGTTCGATATTTATCTACTGTATTTGAAAATTATTAAATTATTTTTGCTTTTCGTTGTTATTTTCAGTATTCTTTGTATTTATTTCTTTCTTTCCCTCCGATCATTATTTATTCGATTCATGTGCTTAATTAACAAAAATGATTTAACAATTCATCTTTCATACAAATAAAACAACAAATCATAAGCATGAAAATCAAGTACCTTATAACTTATAACATGCAACTTTGACACTTTTATCAAAATAGATTATAAAAGGCTTGTTCGTATTCATTTTTTTACAAAATGGCGGAGCATCTTTATTAAAGAGAATACGCTGGGACAAATGCGAGATTTGATTAAAATCCTAGTTTAAAGACACAAAATAACATATGCATTTTTGACTTCCATATAATTTTTAAAAGTGCCGTACGGCTAGCCAATACAGTGTGTCCTGGCTAGTCGTACGTGACTCACGTACGGCTAGAACTTTTGGCTAGCCGTACGGGCCCGTACGGCTAGCCACTTCCTTTCACTTTGTAAACACAGACACTTGGGGGCCAAGTTTAGGTTATGTGCGTGGACTGGCTCCCCATCTGGATCTGCACTTATATACGCCATGTTAATTTTTATTTTGCAAACCGTATGTCAAAATATTTTTGCATATTATTATGACCTGGTCACATGTCTTGAAGAATTACAGTCAACCCGGCCCCAAGTTAACCCGGCCCCAAGTCAACCCGGCCTCAAAATTGGTCAACCCGGCCCCAAAATTGGTCAATCCGGCCCCACAGAGTTTTTATTTGGTCAATGCGGCCCCAAAATTGGTCAGTGCGGCCCCAAAATCGGTCATTCCGGCCCCAATATATATATTTTCAAAGAAAACTATTCACGTCATTTTGTTGTATGATGGAATAAAAATAGTTTATTATTAATTGAATATTATAAACTAAAGAACAATTGTAAAAGAAACCAACATGAACTGGCATAAAAATGTCAGTAAATTTAATTGTGCCAGGGCTCTCGATTGACACGGGGATCCGGGTTTTGACTCGTGAAAATTGGGAAATGCACAAATTTGACACGTGATAAAATCTGCTTAAGAGTCAATTTGCCACATGGGATTTTCAGCTATGCAATAATAATTACCTTCAATCCACCCCTAATTACCTATCAAATCCTACATATGTTCAAATCACACTCATTAAAAATGTCAACAGGCAGCATAAGCCGTGTATAAAATGCTTTACACATACCCTGTGCACTGAAGCGCGACAATTCAGTGGCTGCAATTTGACAGTGCTAAAAATAGCTCTACACAACTGATAAGAATTACATACTTGAGGTGTCAATTATTGATTGCTTTTAAAGGTTTATAATACGTCTTTTATTTACTTGGAGTACCTGTGCATTTGTTATTTCTTTTTCCATTAAATATTCCAAGGTACATTTTGGTATTTAAAATTTATATGATAGAGCATATCAGTCAAGATAATTTTTTTATATTTTATACATTTAATCAGAAAAGCTGCTGCTTATTTTATTCTTTCACAGCAATTCATTTTTTTGTTTTATTTGTTTTTTTTTCAGGTGTGGAGGAGGGGGGGGGGTATAGACATTTATAATTATGGATTTTTTTTGTCAATTTAGACTTTGGAATCTCCAAAAATGACCTCCAATACAGTCATTTTTGTAACATAAAAATGATTCATGTAGTCAAATGACACTAAAAAAAAATTATTTGACTCATGAAAATTTTGGCCAAAGAGTCATTGACTCGTGAAATTCTGACCCTACTGAGAGCCCTGTGTGCTGATTAAGACTTTGACAGTTTAATACGCAATAGTGATAATGAATAATTATATAACATCAACAATTGTATGTACATAAAATTATTTCAGATGTGATAATCAAACAGTATAAAAAGGTATGAATAAGTTGGTAGTATCTTTAATGTAAATTAAAAAGATGGTTCGTGAAGTGTTAATTAATTAGGAAGAAATGCATTGAATTTCGAGTTAAAATGTTTTGTATAAATTAAGTTCCAACAATCTCTTTTTCAGTTCATTTTGAATGTTCTATTGAATACGTTCATCAGTATAATTAATATTTGTTTCGTTTTTTATTAACTTATTTTCAAAGAATATTTACTGTGTAAAAAAATATTGGAATATTACTAAGTGTTTGAAAATTTTAAAGTGTTTGTGGTTAAATCACTTTTTGTTCATCATGACTGATAACTGTATTGATTATGGATCTATTGTGCGTGACAGACAGGAGGCAGTGACCTGCGATACCTGTGATAGATGGCAGCATCTCTATAATTAATCTTATTTTAAAACTGTTCAGGAAAACACTTTAGTGGTGCTTTTGGTCATTCTTTCTTTCTTTTTTACATACAATAACATAGTAATGTTTGAACACATTAAGGTTTCTTTTCCATGGTATGTCAATAAAAAAGTTTAGTTTTTTTCTTAATACTTCTATCGTATTTCTCATCATTTCTTGATAAGTGTTTATATTTTAAAGCAAAATAAATAATAAAAAAACGGGGCAGGGTTGACCAGAAATAACATTGGTTTGGGGCCGGGTTGACCAATTTGGGGCCGGGCTGACTTGCGGCCGGGTTGACTAGGGGCCGGGTTGACTTGTACCGGTCTTGAACATAAAGCTTGTTTTCCGCAGTCCGCTATAATTTATGACAAAATTCAAAGAACTCCCTTAAATATCATAATTTCATAAAGATAATAATATACGCTTTACTTTGATGTGAGACAACTGGAATGAGCTTCGGAACTGTTTTGCACTTTCTTTTTATGCCGAGAACTGGACATAATTCTCTAATGAATATGTATATTTTTTCACGGAATCATTACATCCAGAAGAATTTCATCCAGCCAGTTTGATAACCACGTGAATACCGTGAAAATATAAAGAAACATAATTTAAGTAAAAATGATACTTAAACACTAAATGTAGAGGTAAAGTAGTGTGTAAAGAAAAAAATTCATATATATACCAGGAAATTAAAGGGTGGTAAAAAATTGACACTAACTGTGTCATACTAATATAATCAAAAATTAAGACTAGTCCTTAAACAAAATAATGGTTTTAGTTTTTATTATTCAGGGGCGGAGAAGGGCAGGGTCTACCGTCTACACTCCCAAGTGTCTGTATTTGTAAACACATAAAATTCTATTCTGCAGTGAAATGAGTATATCTGCGAGATAACTTGAGGATGATTCTGGGCACTAATGGAAGGCTAAGCCCTTTTTAAGCCTTCTTTCTCCACAGACATTTCTTCATGTTTATCTCAACAAGTGCTATATATTATAATTTACAATCCTATAAATTACATTATTTAGATCTACATGCTCTCATCAAGCTGTATAATTGTTGACAGCATCATGCTTCACTTAATATTTTAATATGAAAGTAGACAAAGCCTATGAAAGGGGTAGTCAGATAAAAACATTTCGTTCATTTTTATTTTACAATTTTCATTTTTAAGGTGTCATTCGGTATTACATGCACCGCTTCCATTTTTAATCGGAACACCTCAACTATTTTTCTTAAGCCAAACAGTTGCAATTGTTCCGTTATCGGAATACTGCGGCAATTATCATTGAGTTATTTTGAAAATGGTGGCGCCATAGTAGATCTGACACTGAAAATTTCATTGATATGTATACAATTATATATTTTTTTATTGTTTTTATTTGATTTCCTTTTAAATATACACATGTAGTCTATAGCCAGTAAGCCAAAGCCCGGGCGACCTCCCCATATAATGGTACTTTAATGGTCAAGTGTTGATCCAGTTTGATTTTAAATTCATGAAAACTTTTATGTCTACTACATTTTTAGCAAAATTTAGGCAAATTTTTCCTTGTTTTAATAACACGATGTGAAGACTGATTCAAGCAATGAGCTGTTCTACAGCAAAGGATTTCTTGTTTTGAATTATGACCTCATCGTTAATTTGTGCGGAATAACCAAAAACAATTTTAAAAGGGCAGTCAACTAAACCTTGAACAATTTTGAATGTTTTAATCATATCCCCTCAGTATCTGAGATGAGTTAAACTTTGCAGTGTATTCAATTTTGTATCATCTGCAAATATTACACAGTAGTACATTTGTATTATTACCTTGTAGTCCTCGGTTATATAGATAATGCCTCTGGTGTCAAAATTGACCCAGCCCTGGAGGTCACATATTTTATGTAGAGTCAGTGTACCCGGAGTCGTACACTTTTTTAAGTAAAAATAAGAAAATTATCTTATAGTTAAAAATTCTTCTTATAATAGATATTATTTTGAAAATTACATCCTTTGCCCATAAAAACTGATTACCGAAACATTTTTATCTTATGTTGGTCATACTTCTAGGCGCACTTGATTTTAAGCAACAGGAATGGGCCAAATATGATAAATAGTGGACTCGGTTCCGCACACAAGGCCATTTTTATACTGAAAGGTTATTTTACATCTTAAACATGTTTTATAAATTATTTAACATCTGTAAGTCCAGATAAGTTATATTTCTTTGCAAATTTTCAGGACTTCAAATAAATTTAATGCACATTCTTACTACAGTATACAAACATTTATTTCCAAGCATAGTAGCACACAGGAAACATGTAACAGCAATTAAAATATACTGTTTTACCACTTGTAGGTAGTAAACACAGACATAAAACATTATTATTGAAGGTTTTTTCATCTGTTTAGTTATGATTTGTTCGATTAAGAGTTTGGTATCATTTTAAACAAAAGAATCAAGGTGAAATGACTTGACATTTGGTAGTTGGGAGAAGTTAATTCATGTGCATATATTTTATAAGTAACAGCAAATTTGCCATAACAAAAACATACATTTCTTTTCAAATATATATTTTATAATGATCTTAACATTAAAATAGAAATTAGCATGGTTTAATTGCTGAATAAGTTGTTTTTATGTGTGACCTACATAGCCATGTACATGTATTTACATTTTCGTCTGCACTGTCTAGGGAGAGGCTGGGGTGCAAGATCCCAGATTATGTCATATCCTGTTGAAAACATGTCAGTTCAGTGAAACACAAATGAAAATTAAATGAATTCATTTGATTTTTTTAAGAAAAAAATGAAAAATGGGAAAGTGCGCGGGACCGGGTCCTGTGCGGAACCGGGTACACTGACTCTAAAGTTGAATAGGAAAATACATTTATATCTTCTTTTGTGAAACTGCAATTCCTAGAGCTTTGATGTTTGTCATGAAGTATAAATAGTAGTAGACATCATCAAACTTTTTAAAAATGACAAACCAAATGTGACCAGACCTCATTACTTAAATTGTGACCTTTTCTAGCAATGCATCGCAGGTGAACGATCCAGGGTCATCATGTTAGTAAACTTATTTAAACTTGCTGCTGTCACACCAGATGTTTCAGGAATCTGACTGTCCTTATGGTTAATGTTCTAACTTCTATCGCAATATCACTATACATTCACAACCCCTTATAATTTCAAAGGTTAATCAAACCAAGTTTATATTTTATTGTAAAGGTAAATCATAAGATCTTTGGCAGATTAATATCAAAGTCATTTGTTTTATTTCAGATGAATTACTAAAGTAAGTGATGACGGACAATGAGGATTGGCCAATCACAGGAGTTGTTGTTGTAGCAGATATAACAAAATGTCCTGCAGGATATACCACAGTATGTCACCCTAGAATGATAGATTTATATAATACCCTCACAATTAAATAAATGTGAATCTTAACATAAATAACATAAATTAAACCAATGTTAAATAGACTTTGGTAACAGTTATCAGCTTATGGCTTTTAATCTTTTACATAGATAACATTTTTTTCAAGTTGAACCATTTTACTGAAGTAAGGATTAATAAAAAAATTGATTAGTTGCTTGTCACCTTAATGTTAAATGCATTTGTAAAATAATTATTATTTACATACATGTATATTTTTCTTACGTAGATTGACAGAACATATGATCGTGCGGAGGAGGCAGATTTATGGAGAGATGGTATATTTGGACGCAGAGTCACAAGATATTTGTGTGTTCAAAGAACAGCTCCACAACCGGTAAGTTATTAACCCTAACTACCCTATATATCTTATATGGACTTGTCCGTCTTTCAATCTGGACAAACCATTCATCAGTTTTTTAGAAAATTTCAAAATATGTACTGACTGAATATCAAACAGTGCAGACCATGATAAGATATTATAGATGTATTGGCTGATCTTGGTTGACACAGGACACATTTGTAAAATCTGTTGCCATCAGCAGATTAAGAATGACATTGAAAAGTTAAGTTGATCTTTGATTTATTACAAATTCCATCTGTATACTTTTCCATGCTAAGAATGTGCCTTTTGTCCTTCACAACAATTATTTATCATCCCAGAGTCAACCTTGAGTACTAGATTTAATAGATCTTCGAATGAATGTATATTTCAAATTTCATAAGAGAATCTGAAATGATTCACATAAAATTTTTCATTTATGTTCATATGTGTTTTATTGAGTTTTGACTATTTACAATTCAGAAAGAGTCAAGAAAAAATTATATCAACAGCTAAACATTGAAATGCTTTGCAAGTTTTTAAACAAAACTTACATTAATTACATATGCATGAGGACATATTGAAACTTAAATACCATAATCATAATTTACAGCTGTGCTACCGAGTTATTGCCCTTTGTGGACAGTTTTTAAAATAGTGTAGGATTAAAAACTCTAAGAAAGTCTTAATGTAATCATTAATGAGTTATTTGTATAAATTTTCAGGGTAAAGATGTTCTAGTTGATGTTTCAATCATAAATGACAGGGATCCCGTCCCTGCTGGATTTACTGTCTTAGACTACACGGCTGACACTCGTAAGTGTAAATGTTTTGTTTTAATTGACTCGTTCACATATTTATAAATTTGTGTATTGATGTTACTACATATTCATTCCTCCCTTTTCTTCGTACACACGAGAGACAGAAATAGGCACAGAGCTCAGAGCTACATAAATAATACATGTAGATATACTGTTATCTTTTGTCTCTAAAGTGACACAAATATTATTATAGGTATGTATGTACTTGACCACTGACAAATAATATTTTTGATCATTTTTCATAGAAGGATAATTAAATTTAAAAAAAAAATTTTTTTTTACAGTGATCCATGTAAAAGTAAACAAATCAGTGCTTATTTTACTTTATTTACTTTATGGTACTTGATGTTCACCAGTGAGTGATATAAAATGAGTGATTTACAGCGAACATTAAATAGTGAGAGATATATACATGAAGCAGAGTAATATACAGTAAATAGAATACTAAGAGCAATATACAATGAGTGATATATATACAGTCGGCTCTCGTTATCTCGAAGTCATCGGGACCGTTCAAAAAATATCGAGATAACGAAATGTCAAGATAAACATTTTAGGAACAAAGCAGAAACTGATTTTTACAAAAGACATGTCCATACCTTATGTCAAATAAACCATGATATCCCCATGTCTTGTTTTCATAAGCCTAGTCAATATTTAACAAAGTAACATTAGCGGATGTTTACCAGCGGAAATACGGGTGTCTGTGATAAAAACACATAGTGAGGTTAACCCAGTAATACACCAATATAGTGAAAATATTGTTTTCAGGGTGGTTGATCCGGATATCCCCCAGGGTTAGTTATCGGGTCTTTCTCGAGATTGTTCGACCGCTGATTGATTTGTTGATGTTGCGAAACAATATTGCAAAGATAACGTTTCTATACTTTCACTATTTCATTTACATTTAAAGTCATAATGAATTGATACAGTGTTCGAACATTTATAAAGGACGTAAAATTCACTCATTTTGGACATAAGTCAATCAACACACTAATTAGATTAACTTTTATAATAACAGCTAAACTTGTTACAAACATAATCATCATTATGACACGTGCTAATGAGCAATTATCGTCTGGTTTGTGTTTTCCACATGTCTGAAGATAACAGACGAAAGAAAACTATTAGTGGAGATAAACAAAGGATAATAGTGTGAAAATAACTGTTGGGACTGAAATTTTACATCGAGATACTGAAAATATAGAAATGAAAATATCGAGATAAACACATATTTCCAATATAGATACAGAAGGAAGAAAATCGGGTCTTTCAATATTTTATCGAGATAACGAAATATTGAGAAAAGCGATGTCGAGATTACGATAGTTGACTGTAGTAAGTGATATAGATTATATCTCATTACATTTTATAGGTGAGAAGGCAACAAAGAAGAAAGTGATATGTGTAAGATGGATGAGTGTCAACCTTACAAACAGTGCTCTATCAGAACTTATTATATTACCTAAAGGTACCAGGAGACCTCCAAATGGATATACTCTAGTGGGGTATGTTTTTCTTCAGGTTTTCCCATTAGCTGGTTGGATAGAAATTGAGCTTACCTGATACTGATATTTGTTGATTTTATTTAGTAAAATTTGAATGTTTATGTTATTGCTGAGAAATTTCCCAGATGATTGAATGTGTTATTTTATCTTACATATTGTTAAATATTGTTGTAAATTTCTTCTAAACACTGAAAGATAAGGTAACCTTTCAAAATTCTAGCAGTGGCAATGCTTGTCTATGTTACCAACATACAGCCAGGCCAGCTTGTACATCTGTTCAGTCTGGACAGACTTTATAGTATTGGCTGCTGACAAACTTTATTATCCTCCATTTTAGAGAGTTAAACTATTTGATGCTTATTGTTACCTGTCACAAACTTTATTATCCTCCAACAACTTAATGCTTGTTGAAACCTCTCACAAGCTTTATTATCCTCCATTATAGAGAGGTAAATATCTTGATGCTTGTTGATACCTCTCACAAACTTTATTATCCTCCATTATAGAGAGTTAAACAACTTGATGCTTGTTGATACCTCTCACAAACTTTATTATCCTCCATTATAGAGAGTTAAACAACTTGATGCTTGTTGATACCTTTCACAAGCTTTATTATCCTCCATTATAGAGAGTTAAACAACTTGATGCTTGTTGATACCTTTCACAAGCTTTATTATCCTCCATTTTAGAGAGTTAAACAACTTGATGCTTGTTGATACCTTTCACAAGCTTTATTATCCTCCATTTTAGAGAGTTGAACAACTTGATGCTTGTTGATACCTCACACAAGCTTTATTATCTTCCATTTTAGAGAGTTGAACAACTTGATGCTGTGTTACAAGATGGCTAATATACAGACACAATCTAAAATTTCACACACCAACTCCGACCCATCTATAAACATGTAAGTTTTCATAATATTTTATAATTATATTGATATATAGTGTAAAATTAGTGGTTCAATCCTCGGACAAGGCAAAAATGATCATTGGTCTGTCACCCTGATTCAGAAATCACATGGGATAAATAGCCAGTCAATTGTGGAGAAATAGGTAATTACTGATTAGATTATCAGGGAAGTCGGATAGGTGGATAGATCTAAAAACTAAATAAACAAACAGCTATAAAATTTCTCCTGAATTAGCTTTTACATTGTCTTCTGGTGAAGAAGAGGGTATAGTTATAAGCAATATAGATATTTTGACATAATTGCTCAACCTCAGTTCATTTATTGATTATATAATTTATATATTACAGGACAGACATGGCCAATAACCTACCATATACACTGCATCCTGGTAAAGAGAATGCATACAGACAAGGGATGTCATCTAGTTATACACCTGGTACCAATGTGGCCGGGTACAATCAAAACCGCCCTGCTCCACCTCAACGCCAAATGACCATAGGTGGTACAGTGTCAGGTAAATATTCTTTCTTGTAAATTTTGATCAAGTTACTTAGAAGTAAAATCATGAAAGGTATTTGTGCTTACAACATGTATGTTTATTATGGACTTTAAAGCTGAAGTAAGCTGTCACTGCTATGAGTATTTGTATACAGAATTGAAGTGAATACTTTTAGATGTGTAAATCATGCAGCTGTCATAATACATGGTTAAAACAAATTACTTAGATGTGCTTGACAATTATTACTTGAATGACACTAACATTTCTTCTACCAGTAAGTTTCTTGATTATAACGCTATAACCAATTATACAATTGTTTTAAGACAGTCTAGATGTTGATTGTAATAGGAATGTATTTTTTCTGTTACAGCATTGTCTGGGGTACCATGGCAACTTAGTCCTAAACTTACAGATCTGGAAAATTTAAAAAATGTGAGTGAATATTTTAAGTTAAATTATTATAACATATCAAGTGACATTCCTATGTATTATGATATATTTTAAAGTTTCATGTATGTTGACATGGGATTTAGCAGGTGAGTGAGCAGGTGAAGTCAAGTGGTTATGCTGTAAAGCTCTTTTTCTATGCTACTCTATCTAAATTTCTATTTTCTACAAGTCTTTTTTGATGAGACTGTTTACATGGACATTCTGTTTTGGCATTTCACATATCAACACATACCCTGCTAAGTTTGTATAATGAACTTTCCATGCTTTGAATTTGGAATAGTCCAATAGTACTTTTAGGGATGTCAGTTTCAAAGAAGTGAAAATTGAGCTGCCAACAGTATACAGTCTGATATGTAGGCTTTTCAGATATTTATTTTCATGTTTTTATTATTTTTATGAAATCAGAAAGTTTCGAACTGAAAGCAGGGCAAATGCATTTCACAAATTTAACAGTGTCACACTCACAGTTCGTTTTAAAATCTGTCTTGTTTTTTTGTTTGTCAGATTCACATACCAGAAATCAGATACAAAACCATTTTGGATATTGAAAATCAGGTAGGTTACACTTTTTCTTGTAACTACAGAACTTCATTATGCGAAAAGTATACTTTGTTTTTCTTAAGTTGTGCTGTTTTATCTTACATAATACAATACATTGTAAATATTATTTATCATATTTGTTTAAGAATGCAAAATCATAAAAAATTGATTGTTATTTACACAATGATTGATTAAATTTGAAATATGACAGCAAAAACAACTTTTTGTGATAATACAGATGTTTACTAATGATGGTTTAATTACAAACTGATAAACATGTCAACAATTATGAATTCACATACCAAACCCTTTTGTTGCCAGACCTGGATGAGGCGGGCTGCGGGTTTGATCCCTGGTGTTGTTTAAAGTTTGTAACACCCAAGGTTAGCCGAAATCATCATTCCTGTTTCAGCACCATATGACCTAAATTGTGATCCAAACTAAACATATTAACAAAAGCTGGAAAACTTAGTCTGATATGCAAGAAATGGTAGTATAGTATATGCTTATTCTTATGATTTGTTATTCTTCTATTGCAGTACCAGTATCACTTTGATGTTGAAAGATCTACCAGTGCAAACAGTGGTTAAAATATTCAAATTGTCCTCATTGTGACTGTAATACTGTGACTTGTTTCCCTCTTTTGGTATAATATCATAAGAGAGATTCTATGTTTTGCAATATATAATTTAGTATTTGTCTATTGTGATAAAATCAGTGCTTGTAAGCTGCACTTATTGAAATTTTGCAACAGGGAATGGTAAAGTTTTTGTTATTTGAATATCATTGTTTTGTTTTCATAAAAAAAAGTATCTTAAACAATATTTTTGGAAAAAAATATGAAAGGGTTTTCATACATTGATTACATACAAATTGTTTTTTTTTAATGCAAGCTACATCTAAATTTTTGGATGTTGATTATTTTTTTTGCTTACAAAAATTTGTGTCAAAAAGTTTAAATGCAAGCCATGATAGGTATTTAGTGTTTCAAGCAATATTCTATCATGCTGATGTTTAGAGAGAAAAACACATTATAACCCTCTTGTTTAATAAGGACCATAAATTTAAAATTATGTATTTGATTGAACTTTTAAGTAATGAATTAAACTTGAAATGAAGAAAACAAGCTAAAAAAACAACAAGAAACACTTAAATTTTAAAATGGATTCTTGCAAAGTTTATACACTTGAAAGCATTATACTTTGTGCATTAATCACTTCCCACTATATTTGTGTAATGTACTTCAATAATATTGATACTGTCTATAGTACTTAATCTATTCAGACTTAATGTTTGTGGCGAAGGTCTATGACACTCATCTGCTCATCTGCTGTTATATATAGAGAATATTGAATGCGAGTGTATGTTTAATACTAAATTTTTTGATCAAGTTGAATAAAACCATACGAGAATATAAAATACTATATATCACATATTCAAAATCAGAAATGATCAGTTAAAAAAAGTTGTTTTTCGTTTAGGCGCCTAAAGTGTTATGCTAACATTACCACATTTTAACACCATATTTGTATGTATTGAAAATGATGTCATGTCATTCAAAGTGTTATTACACTAGTGTAATATCAATTTTATTAAATGGCTTTATTACACTCCTGCACCCTAGTTTATGTGATAATTACTTCTATTTTGTGGCAAGATGAATAGAAAATTGTAGTCTTCAGTATAATTTAGCAGTAATCTGTCCTCCAGGATGAGTGACTCTTGGAATAATTTTCAATCTCTGTCGATAATTATCCCAGCAAGCACTTGCTGTACAATATAAATGAAAGAAGTGTTTATGATTGTCACTTAGCTGATAGAAACAAAGACAGACTGATCAGGATCCATGCTGTTCGCTTACCAACTCTATTACAAGTAGAGAAACTGATAGCGAACAGCATGGATCCTGATCAGACTGCGCGGATGCGCAGGCTGGTATCCATGCTGTTCGCAAACCCACTATGTTGGTTTTGTCATGATGCGGCTCATTTATTGTTAATAGCCTTCAAGAGTGCAATCCCTTATTGTCAATTTGTAATTACTATGTGCCATTTGTGGTAGGAGCTCCACTGAGGTCTAAAGGCATAAAAAAACCATAGAATTTGAAATTTTTACAGAGATCAATCTGGGCACCTAAAACAGAAACAAATAAAAGGGATATATTAAAGAAATGTATTCAAATTCAATGAAAAAAATTTCAGGTGATTTTTGCTACGTAGAAAAAAAACGTGTGAGTGAATGATCTGAAAGTTTGACTAAAAGTTAAAGTAATGGTTTGATATAAAAATCTCAAAAAAAATCCAGTGCTGTTATGCCAAGAAACCTCAATGGAGTCCCTCCAGTGTGCTATCATTGTGCAAGAACAATTACCTTTTGGTTATAGTTAGTTAGTTACAGGAAACGATAGGAAACAGACAAATTTGATAAACTGTTATAATGAGTAGCTTTAAATGTTTTCTGTGTTTGGTCTCTATGTTGAACATATGATGTAAATTTGAAATTATTACATATTTCTACTATCAAATATAATGTATACATATATGTATAATGTATGACTGGCGAGTTGAGTAGTTAACACATCAGCCTAACTTTTGTACTTAACTTCTTATTATTGTAGACTTTATTGTTACATTTTGTTTTTTTTTACTTTCAATGCATGATTTGTATACATGTATTTGCCAATCGATTGGTGGTCAATGATTGAAAAATAAATTATACCTATACGAACTTGATGTTGCTTTAATTATCTACATGTATACAGGGATATGTAAATTAGTTGATGAAATGTTTTTATATGGATTATTATCATGGTTTCTAGATTGAACAAGGACGGAAAAGGGAACTTCGAAGATTGGACGTATTGGTAATCCAAAAATGTAACTGTAGTTGTCCCCCTTTGTTTTTAAGTAAGGACAAAGGCTCAGTTTTTCTCTGAAATGGGAGATTTAAATATTCCTCATTCCAACTAAACACAATTAGTTAATGGTGTTTCCAAGGAAAAAAATCTTAATTCATAATTAAAATGACTTCTAGATACGTAACTGTATTTCTTTGTAATTCATATCATTTGGCCATTTGTACACTAATTATTATTGAGTAAAGGAAAATTTTCAAAAATGTCCATTTTCGTGTAGAATTATAATTAAATAACAAATATGGAAATGTTTACTGAAAATGGTAAAATAAGACAAGCAGACATTCATACTCGGTGATCGGCTGTGATTTTTTATGAATTTTTTCTTTACTTAATTATAGTAAAATATGTATTTGTATATTTTAACGTTAGGACCTTTAAGATAAATCACATGTGTAATTCTTGTTTTCATAAACGATAAAAACTTGAGCAAAAGTTTATCATCTACCTTTCCTTTAATTTTTTTCTGAAAATGTTTACTTATTTCGCTTAAACACTATACATACCTACAAAAAATATGACAGTGTACAAATAAGGTCAATTAGTCAACTGAAGTTAGTTTTTCTGGTTTTAACTAAATGGACATGTCAAAATAATTGTCATATCAACATCTCGGTATTCACTGGACGCCAGTGAACAATGCTGATATATAAGACACCGTGATATAATATAAAATTAAAGTATTTGACTATATGAAGGAAAATATGGCAATTTGTAATATTAACTGTACCAAATTGTTATGCTTATTAGTTTTGATTCCTGTGCAAATTGATTTTGTCCAATCTCTAAGGAAATGTAAGTACCTTTTTTACATTTTAGATACAAATTACACAACATTGTAAAACGAAGGTATCAACTTTTAATTACATATAAATATAATCATCAGAATACATTTCTTTCGTAAACGGTTGTTGATTAATATAGGAATTTTCTATATCTTCTGTAACGGAAAGACCGCAGGTATCCAATGTGGATTGTTTTCACGTTATGTGTACCTTATTTGTACACTGTCATATTTTTTGTAGGTATGTATAGTGTTTAAGCGAAATAAGTAAACATTTTCAGAAAAAAATTAAAGGAAAGGTAGATGATAAACTTTTGCTCAAGTTTTTATCGTTTATGAAAACAGTTGGTAGCAAATTGATACATTATTGTTGTACATCAGCCGACATATATAACGAAATAAATATTGAAGTAGTTTAAATGTATTATAAATAAACGTACAAGATCACTGACATGCATATTTCTTTAAGAATTTATAAAGTTAAACTCACATACAAACAACATATATTTCACGCTGACTTACTAAATCTTATAAGACATTCATGATAAAGTGCAGCAATATTCAAGCTTGAATTAAGATTAATCAGATTGTTAACTTTGAATATTTTAGTTCGAATCTGCTTACGTTTCTGAAATATTGCCATATTGGAAGAAAACTTACAGAAAAAACAATAGAATTTTGTATGGGAAAAGGAATTTTGTATATGGGAAAAAAACGTTTCTCAAAATTAGGCGTAAAGCAAAGTAATTTCTATTGATTTTCTAACAATATATTCAAATTTCTCAAACATATGTCATATGAGGGACATTACATGTATGCCTCAGAAACGAATTCATTTATGTCCATACATAAATTTTATAAGGTTTAAATAATGGTTTATAGCCTGTTAGATGATTTTTTACGGGAAAATTAGTACTGAATGTGATAAATATTTGTCATAAAAGTACCAAAATGTAACTTAGATAGTTATGATAGTAGTGCTCCGATTTCTACACAACATACTAAATCATTATAACTGTACAGTACTAAATGCCAAAAAGTAACTGAGGCAAAAGATAGCTCATGTAAATGGCCAAGGTGTATCTTTTTGGGAACTGTAACAGAACAACAAAAATTAAAAGGTTTTTAGAAATAAAAATAAGCGTTTCTTGGGCATAATGGGTATTTTATGATACGGTTTATTTTTCCATTATTTTTGAAAATTTTGTCTTCAACAAATTTGGTATGGAATCGTCCTATTTTGTTAATTTCTATTTGATGTCTCTGAAAGAACACGATTTGTTTTTCCAGTTTACATGAAATGGTCCACCTTAACAAAAAAGATCTATTACAAAAACGTTGTTCTTTGACAAATATGGTGTTATTTTTCTACATTTTTAATGTCACTGTAAGAAATTGATATTGTTTCCAGTTTACATGGAAGATGACTGTACAGGTTACATTGACATGGAATCGGCTGCTATTCCTGCCGGGAGACTATCCGTCACGCGCCGGTCCAAATACCGTAGCAAATTAAAATGTCATGTAACGATTAAGGCCCCACTTGACAGGAGGATTGTTGTCGTTTTCAGGTTGGTTATCATTTTTTTTGCATTATTTTAGCATTACAATTCTAAGAATTTAATTAGGTTTAAGATCCGACCAATTCACGCATTTTCCACCTAGAAATGGGCCATGCATTTTGCAATTATGAAATACATTATGAGAATATATGATTTAAAAAAGTTTTTCTTGTCAGACACATAACATGAAATAGTTTCATATTGTGTTAATATAACAAAGGTGTGCAGCTTTAAAGTGAATCTTCTAATAGTACTGATTTGTTGTTTCGTTTTGCGCACGAAATTGTACTTGTGAATATTTCGAAGTTATAAAGTATATGTAGATAATGATACTGTAGGTATATAAGTACATGAGATGCCCACATCTACGGACGGAATGTCCCCTCTGTGCTGTTAAAATGTGTAAATTACAACAATATAAAAAGGATGACTTTCGTGTTACTCTAAAATAATTTTAAATTCGTTATTCCTTGAATAAGCACTGTTACTGTATATATTGCATACTTAATTAATTAAATTTTTCGCTGTAATTTAGTTTAGCTGTATACAAGTATATGTATTTCAGAGAAATGGACATTGAGTGGGAACCAAACTGTGGTGATGATTTTATGAGTTTACATGACGGTCATAATATGACAGCAAGGGTGTTACGAGGTCTGGTATTTGTAATAATTACAGATCTACCAAACAACTAAATAAAAAAGACAGAAAACTGTTGGAGAGATCGCGTTCTAAAGAAAATTAATATCCTGAACGAAATGTGTTTTTACTTTTTTTTTGCGCTCTGGAATGTAAAAAATAAAAATTCCTCAGCGACGCATTATTTTGCTTTGAAATGTCTAATATTGTCATATTTTTTGACATTTTTTTCTAATCGGCTGACAAAATTTCTCCTTAGCTGTCTCGCGAGGACCTTTCTTATTAAAAAAAATCATTTTTGATCTTTTTTATTCTAGTTTACTTTAAAATGTATACATGTACGGTCTGCTATATACGGTGGCACAAAGGGCCATCAAAAATGTTTTATCTACCGCGATTGCTACTATGTGCGCACGTGATAGCTACAAGCTATTGCGTGCGCACACGGTAGCTATTACGTGCACCAGTGATTGACCAACGTAGGGACTATCGCGTGCTCACGTATAGTAGCTATCGCGTGCGCACGTGATATATATCTATTTCTGATGTCCCCTCTATACTTCCTTAGCTTTTAGGCATTGCAAATTTTCTTCTTAAATTTGTTACATGTATTAAAATGGAACGAAAATAAACAGCATTAAAAATAGTCTAACATTTCTAGGAACACATCCTCAAATATGTGGTCATATAATACCTCCCGGAGACTACACCACCACTGGTAACCTCCTGACAGTGGGTTTCCAAAGTGATGGCTACAAACAAAACAATGGCTTCGAGATTGTGTTTACATCTTTTCACACAGGTACGAACAGACCAAGACTTCTTGCAACCTTTTAAAGATATTGGCACGTGTTTACAACGTGTTTTGTTTCCGTTTTAGCAGCATTATGAACAATCTTATTAAAATGCTTATTTTCCCACTTTACTTATTCTTTTTATTATTTCCAGTACCCGTTGTGTCCAACTATAAAATATCCATATCTTAAACGTGTTTTGATATCATTCCGTTGTGAATGTATTTACATATAGTCTTTATCTTACATAGCATGTTGTATTTTATCCTTTATTACTTAATTTCTTCTGTGTGCCAGTGCTTCGTTTTTCAGCTATTTCTTATCAATTTTTCTATTTACTAGTTGTTTCTTTCAATTTCATAGCTGAGTCTTGTTTCGTGGACGAATTACGGTGTAGCAATAAGCGGTGCGTAGCTTCCTCATTACATTGTAACAATTTCAACAACTGTGGCGATGATTCTGATGAGTGTGAGGTATTAATATCTTTATAATCCATAGTTCTGAACATGTCTAGTGATATGTCTAGTTGTGTGTCAATTTTTATGTCTAGTAATATGTCTAGTGATATGTCTAGTGATATGTCTAGTAATATGTCTAGTAATATGTCTAGTGATATGTCTAGTGATATGTCTAGTAATATGTCTAGTGATATGTCTAATTATATGTCTAGTTATATGTATAGTGATATGTCTAGTTATATGTCTAGTTATATGTCTAGTTATATGTCTAGTTATATGTCTAGTAATATGTCTAGTGATATGTCTAGTGATATGTCTAGTAATATGTCTAGTGATATGTCTAATTATATGTCTAGTTATATGTATAGTGATATGTCTAGTGATATGTCTAGTTAAATGTATAGTGATATGTCTAGTTATATGTATAGTGATATGTCTAGTTATATGTATAGTGATATGTCTAGTTAAATGTATAGTTGTATGTCTAGTTAAATGTATAGTGATATGTCTAGTTATATGCATAGTGATATGTCTAGTTATATGTCTAGTTAAATGTATAGTGA